GCTGTTTCTTAGGAAATATAATAACAAAAAGTTAAAACTATTTCTAAGTACCCCTAAGTTACAACATTAGCTGCTACAGCAGGCTGTGAGTACTGACTGCTCAATCCGTTTAACTGAATCAGCCCCGAATCCCTAAACCCAATGCCACACTGCACAACAAGACCCGTCAGAGCCCTCGGCCCCAAACAGAGAACTCTAGACACTCAACGCCAGGAACCCTCACAAAACCCCTAAACTCCGACCGAACCCATAGCAGAACACCTCAAACCGTAAGCTCCCCTAAGACCCAAGACCAACAAAAACCTTGGCTGTCAAGTCAACCCAGAAAACCCCCAAAGCCCCAAAACCTCAAAGCCCTCAAAGCCCCGAACTCAAAAGCCCCCACCTGCGACACCTTCCTGCAACCCTCAAGCTCCCAAGGCCGAAACTCCCAAATTTTATCACCACGGCCCCTTAATTTGTTTCGGGTTTAGGGCTAATTTGGTCCAGGGCTTGGGTCTCAAGGTTCGACATACTGTTGATGATGTAAATCCTGCCTTACCCAGAATAAGGAATATACCATAAATCCCATAGACTAGGGTCCTTAAGGTAATGCAGGACTTTTATCATCAACAGTAGCAACAAATTACGTACTTCGTAGAAGCTATGCATACACCTGAAGTAAGTGGGGCTGTTCTATTTGTAACCCTGTTGAATAACTACATACTACGTCCCCATCTCGGAACCTCGAATGTAGGCGCCGAATGAATTGGAATAGGGTTTGGGGCGTTCCTTCTTACAATATAGCTATAGTACAGCATCCCCGCAAATCCTACTCTAGCATTTACGGCCCCTAGAGTGCACAGGATGTCAAAGTTTGGTTAGAACAGTGCCTCCGAGCTTGGCAGCAGAACGACTTCCCTGAGATGGAGCCTTGGGAAAATAGAATAAGGTTTTGGGCTCCCCCATAGTAGTGTAAAATTACGGAGCCCGAAGACCCTAAACCCTAAACCATAAGGACTACTATGGGTAGCCATTTAAGCTTCTACATGAAGAGATTCAGCTTCGAGGGCTCCTTCAAGCGTACTGCAAAAGTACTTTGAGGCTCCGGGTTGAGGGTCTGGGGCTTCGACTAGGGTTTAGGGTTTAGGGGGTTTAGAGTTTACTTTAGCTTACCTGTCTGAAAGCTCTAATGAGCCTAAGAGGGAAAACCTTTCAACAAAAAAAGATGACTACTGTTGATGATATAAATCCTGCATTACCTGAGGGACCCTAAACTATGGGATTTATGGTATATTCCTTATTTTGGGGTAATGCAGGATTTATATCATCAACCGTACTTCGGCGTTTCTGAGGCATCGTAGCGGCAAATATTCGCGACACTGCATGTTGTCAGAGCCCAAGAAGTGTCAAGGTTGGGTACTGCCGAAACAAGCTAGGGGTTGAGGCATGAAGCGGTTGACGGATCCAGCGCAGAAAAAGCACTAGCAACAACACTCATCATACATGTAGCCGTACGAGTATCTACCGTCGTATGTACAGTCGCAGGCACAACTGAAATACTAAGCAAACTGATGACAGTAAGGAAACATCGACAACCACTTGAAGAAAGCTGATAACAACCGTAGCCAGCATATTCCACTTGAAGGGTCGGGAGCTTTGCCTGAGGAAATCTACGAATTCATGCGCCTACAGCTCTCGGGTGTCTGTGTTCTCTCGAGTTTCAGGGTTTGGGGTTTCGGGGTTCAGGCTGTTACTGCTCCGGTGCTTCCGGGTTTAGTGACGGGCTTTAGGGTTGAGGATTTAAGGGTTTTGGGTTTGGGACGCGCAACATCCAGAATAGCTGCCTGTAAGACTCCATGAGCACCGGTGGTTGCATCGTGGCGCTGAACCCCGAACCCTAAATTCTGCAGTTACGCAGAACAACCTCGTGCCTACTATGCAGAAACATGCGACGCCAAGCTAGAAGCACAAACTCTGCCACAAACCTCAAACCCAAGCACAAACCACAGAGTCCAGACCACAGTCCTTCCTTCCTCCAATAAGCCATGTTTGAACAAAAACCCAACACCACCGAAAACTGACATGGGAGTATGATGATGATGTTTAGGCCGATTTAGGCCTCTATATAGCTCTTCCTGTTAGTCGAAGCCGTCCAACATCGGTGGGGTTCTGACAGCAGCTTTGCTTCCTCACCGTCCTCGTACCGCAATGTGTGAACAGGCCTGGAAGAGCTGACAGTCTGTGGTTTGGAGTTACGGCTGAGGGTTTGGTCTTTTGCCTTTTGTGCATTTGGAATTGGACCTCTAGGCGCTTAGGCTTGGGGCTGCGGGCTCAGGAGATCCGATTTTGTGACTGCTAGAACGGTCGGCGCTTACTCTCACAAGACCCTTACTAGTATATAGTGCCAGAACTAGTGCTAGAACTCTTGCTGCTGCTGCTGCTGCCGCTACTAAGAACTACTACCATCACTACCACCACTACAAGAACAACCAACGCCACGACGACGACTGCGACTAACAATGCCATAGCCAAGACTACTACCAGCACTGCAGCTATAACCCTAAACCCCGATTATCATGATGTTGCTGTCTCGATTGCGTAAACCAGGAACCAATGTGGTTCGGGATCCTTCAGACTTCGGGCGGCCTTTAAGGAACCAGTTAACAGGGATGATTGAGGCCCCTGCAGCAATTAATTATGGTCCTGGGGTTTGAGATGTGGGATGTCGAAGCTGGAGATCTCAAACGTGCACTTTTGGGTGCTCGCGGTCTGGATTAATGCTAAGGTTTAGTTGGGGGTTTTAGGGTTGAGGGCTACGGTTATAAAGCATAACATCGTACAGCAGCGATGCACTGCGAATTGAGCATGCATATTTAGGGTTTGCGTTAGAGATAGCAATGCTCTTACCGGCGTATTATTTCATGTTGTGTAGCAGAACAATGTGCGGTATCATACATAGTACAATCGACCCGACAGCCCTGAAGCCCCAGCCCAGGAGACCAGAACGCCCCCCCCCCCCCCCCTCCCTCAAAAAAAAAATCGAGAAGCTGAGACCCTGGCAGCTTGGCGATCAGGTCGAAGCTCGTCACCAGGGCCTTGGCGAAGAAGGTATCGCGATGACCCTAAACCCCTTAACCCTACACCTCTAGAAAGTCTCTAAAGTCTAAACCCTACACCTCTAGAAAGTCTCTAAAGTCTAAACCCTAAAGCCCTAGAAATTCTCTAAAGTCTAAACCCTAAAGCCCTAGAAACCTAGCAACCCTAAACCCGAAACCGCTTCCTCCGACTTTCGAGGTTCAGGACTGAGGCGGCTTGGGGTATCGAACAGGGTTTAGGCTAGATGCAGGTCTTACAGTGACTTACCAAAACCTCTGCGCTATTGGAGAATCACTTTCACCTCTACATGAGGATGAATGACAGGAAGACCCTGAAACAGTAACGGTACGTAGTCTTTGGTAGCTTCAGGAAGGGCTTTGGCTTTCGGTGCGGAGTTTAAAGACTAAGTCGATGTGAAGGCCTGTCGGCATATTGTCGGACTTCTGTATTTGGCTTCCGGCGTTCGTGAAAGCAAACCATCGACGGAGGAATTGCCAAATGCTACTCCTTCATCTTGTCTCTTCCTACACAAAAGCTTGCTGCACAGAACACATGGTGCAAAGGTGTAGGGTTTGGGGGGTAAGGGTTTAGGGCTTAAGGTTTCGGATTTAGGGTTTTTAGAGTTTCGGGTCTTGGGCTTCAGGGTGTGGAGGTCTGATTTGGGTTCAAGGGCTCAGGGGTTTAGGGGCTGAGGGCTTTAGGACTTAACTAAGGGTTCATGGTACTGCCTTAGGCCTGACTCTGAGTGGCAGTCGGTTGGGTTTCGGATTCATGCAATCGGTCATGCGGACTGTCACGTCAGCGGCGGTGAAGCATCTTCGGCGCCGAGCGAGCTTGGGTCCAACGTGCCGCATCCCGCCTCTCACATAGGCTTCACACCAGCGGGCGAACGGAATATGAATCGCGTCAGGTTCACTCTTGTTCCGCATTTGGTGCTCAACCAAACACGAAATCCCTAGGGGCGTCTTTGGCCCCTCTTCTGCCTTTGGTTCAACTCGGGACTCCGTTGCATGTCAACCCGCCGTCACTGGCCTCCATGTTCTTCTGTATCGCCACGGTGCTGTTCTTGACCAACACGATGGTCTCACCCCGACTTGATCGTGTCAGCAAAAACCTAAAGCCTAAGCCCAAAGTGCTAGACTCCCAATCAAAGCCTTGTAGGACCCCTTACAGTATCAAACCTCCCAAACCTAGATAGCGAAAGCTGTGCTCACCCGAGCGGGAACGGTACGTCTGAGGCCACTGCAGGCTTCCATGCGTCTCTACCTGAAGAATGAAGGGTGGGTTTGAGGGTTTAGGGTTGAAGGGTTCGGTTTGGGCGGTTTAGAGTTTATGGATTTAGGGTTTCAGGGGTCCCAGGGGAGAGAACATTAATCATGCTTGCGTCGGAGCAAAAAACTTCACAGCTTTGGGGTTTACTTGGTTGCTTCTGTCGTGGGCAAGAACCTTCAACATTCAGTTTAGCCCATCATAACACCGCAAAGAAACGCTCATCAATGTTCAAAACGACCCCAATGTGAACCCTGCCTCGCTAATCCCACCTGAGCCCTTTCAGAACCATTGGAACCTTTTTGACACTCTTAGAGAACCCTCAACTTACGCAGGTTACCATGTTATCGGAAGAAGTGTACAGTTCTCCTTTCCGCGACTGGGCTTACCTATAAGGCTATGTTGTGGTGGCCGCTGCTGGCGAACCAATTCTATGGTTAGGATAGGTTAGGATCCTGTTCCAAACACGCAGTAGACAAACAAAGTCGCTATGACTACGATGACAAGAGGTAAACCAGAGTAGACAAAGCCCCGCCCAAGACCTAAACCCGTAATATATCCCTTCGCGGAACCCGTTCAAAAAGTGATTGGCTGGTTTTAGGGCCCTTTAGGCCTCAAGGCTGAACTCCCCTGCGGCATCCAGTGCTGCTGCTGTAGCAGAGATGACAGGCACGGGCCCATCAGCGTTGTTTCCCAGAGCGGGTTCATCGCCTCCTCAAGACGCTTTTAGCAAGTCAAGCCTCATTGACGGTTTCAGGTTGCTTGCTTGTCGGCAAAGTGGTCAAAATCCTGGACAAAGCGCATGCAAGGAGTGCATCGGAAGTTGCGAACGGACTCTGAGCGGCAGGCGCCGACATTTCCTTCCAGTGCGACATCGCGAAACGGGTGAGTTAAATGTTCAAACCTTTGAGGCCGAGCTTGAGCTCCTTCCTCATGCTCCGCAGTGCTAATCGGACCTCGTCGGAGCTCTTGTCATCCACCACGACTACTGCCTGTTGAACCGTCACGATGGCCTTCCAAGCCTCCTGGCTAGGGCTGTGGAGGTTGCGATTGTCGGGGCTTTGATGCTCAAAGCATCTGAAGGCATCTGGCCCTAAACTTTGACTAAACCCTAAATACCCTAGAACCGCAAACTCCCACTAAACCCTGCAACTTTGTGAAGTCAACCGATGGGAGCTTCGGGCTTACGGCGCGCGGTTTATAGGATTTGGGGTTTAGGGTGCATCGAGTTTGGGATCTGGGTAGCTGTCTAAATTAGGGTCGCTTTTCTTTTAGTTCCTGAGGGGGATCCACAAGGGTTTCTATGGGGTTTCTACCCAAAACGGACCCTAATTTAGATATTTCTTTTTGTTTAGAGTGTTTCGGGTTCATGGTGTAGAGAGTTCAGGATCTAGGGCGTCGGTGGATCGGGTTTTGACCCGATGACCAACCCTGAAGTCAAAGTCAGGCTGCTGACAAAGCCCAAAACCCTACAACCCTAAACCTTTACAACAGCTTAGCACGCTGAAGGCATCAGGGGGCCCTGTTGCTACCCTAAACCCTAAACCCTAAAGGATTTCTTATGTTATGAAGGATCAGACCAGTGGGACCTGGTACTTCTTGGACCTTATGAGAAGATGAAAACCCTGAAACCTCTTTGCCCTTAAAGTGAACCCTAAACCCTGACCTTACCCCAAAAATACTTCTGGGACCTCAAGAGACCTACGGAGGTGCCGGACACTGCCAAACAGATATCTACCACGACCCTGAAGGAAAAACGGGGCTTGCTCAATTTTCATAGAGGTACGGGGAGGGTTGTAATGGACTCAAAGGGGGTTTAGGGACTTGTTGAAACTCGGGGTACCGCAAAGTGTTTTTGGGCCTCCTCATGATTCAGGACTGCTGTTCAGGCAAGGACTACAAGGACCCGAACGGTTAAACTGTATCCCCTAAACAATACGGGTCTATATTACCCTAAAGTACACATACACTCCAAGCTACTAGCTCCTGCGGATGAAGCTCTAGGGCCTAAGGTCCCGCATTACTCACAGTTTTGATAGTAACTTAGTAGTAATCGTTGCCACATCATCCCTAAACCGTGTCCCCAAGCCCCAGCCTTAAACTCAGAAGCCCCAACCCATAAACCCCTGCAGTTCCTAAACTATAACCTCAACCCCTCAACCCTTGAACTTAACGCCCTAAACCTAGACCCTAAACTATAACGCCAAACCCTAAACCCTATTTCAACCCTAAACTACACCGGCAACCTTACAACTGACTCAGCCTGCTTCTGCATGGGCAACCTCTCGGCCAGCCTCCAGCGTGGAAGCTGCGGGGGGTCTAGGGCTGTATATGTGTAGTAATTCGCTAAATGAAGTACATCGGGGATTAGGCTTCGCGGTACATAAGGGGTTAGGCTGTAGGGGTTTAAGTATTTTTGTTGAGGCCCTTTCTGTTGGTTTAGGGGCTTCGGGTTCAGGGTGCACCGAGTTTAGGATTTGGGTAGTTCTCTACAGTAAGGCACCTTTTTCAGTCCGCTAGTAGGGCACCCTTCTACAAAGACCCTTAACGGCACCCTAATTTAGAAAACTAGCCAAACTCAGGGTTTTATGGGCTTAGGTTTATGCTTCAGGGTCTGTGTATACGGGCCTCAAGAGATAGAAAAGAACTTCTATACAAGGATTTCTATAGGAAGGATTTTGGGCGAAGCATTACCGGAGCCTCAAGAATCAGAACCGGATTCCTTAAACAGGCTGCATAATGAAAAATTAAGGCTGTCAATTCTCGCTGGAGATCTCGGAAGCAACGGCAGATTTCAGATCAGGCTTCATGGTCTGCGTGTGCTCGGCTTTAGTGTTTAGGCCTTCGGGGTTCGCAAAACTAAACCCTAAACCCCTAAATACTACTACAAAGCAGGGCTTCAAGCTGTTCGACAAGTTGTCGGGTGACGCTCTCTGATCTCTCTTCTCATGTCAATCTATATAAACCCTGAACCCTTAACCCCTAAACCCTGAATCCTAAACCTCAGAGTCGGAGGAACCTCAGAGTCGGAGGAACAGCTTCATCCTTTTACAAGTGCGGGAAGTAAGCTTGTAGCTTGCAGTCAGAAAGGCATGTTTCAGCAGTGGGGCGAAGCTTCGCCCAGCTCTCGTGCTGGTAGGGCTTTGAGGGCTTGTAGGGTCAACGAATATGCCTCTGTCGCAGGATCATGATATCAAGCCCTCCACAGCAAAACAAAGACCTCCGAAACCCCGAATCCAAGATGCTGCAAGTATGATAAACTATGCCTCAAAAGAGTCCCAAACCTCCGAGGATCAACTCAACATCGTAGCAGCTTGCACGTTCATGCTTAGCCGCCCCTCAATGCCAGCAACTCTCTTCTCCAACAGCGAGTTCACGCTTCCTACCATGGACCAGAGAGAGATATTGCCAAACAGTTTAAAGTTCTTCCTAGACCCGAAACCCTGACCTAACCCGAAACAAAAAAGCAACCACGAGCCGGACCTGCGAAAATGGACGCTCGGCGATGCGGCGCGACACGATTCGCCTGCCTGTGATAGCTCGGCCAGATAAAGATGATCTCATAGAATACATAATTGTGTGTTGCAGTATACTATAGTATTGGAAAAATGTGGTATATTTATAATGGGTTACAGTAGGCTTTCGTAAGTTAACAGGTGTTCTATTATGATATAGTATGTTGTGGCAATCGAATAGTGTATAGTATACTCATAGTAGGTTATAGAATATGATACCAGAATATAGTTTCTTCCCACCGGTGAAGCTGATTCTTGGGGGGTAATGCAGGAGCCTGAGTGATTGATGATACATGTGTTCTAAAGGCGCATCGCACTACGGAAGCTTCACATGTTTTGCGTTGGTGCAGAAAGTTTGGAGGAAGGGCTCTGCAGCTGTTTTGTGTCGTGGGTTTTGGGTTCCGCTGACATCGCAGAGACGGGGCACGGACCTCTGCAACTTAGTCTCAACTCGCAAGCCTAAACCAAAAAAGTTGCAACAAAAAGCCTCACAAGCTTCACACAGCTTCCATACGGGTAGATCTCCAATATGGGCCCCTTTTAGGGTCGGAGTCGTTGTTATATGGCTGCCGTACTATTTTGGGGACCCCCAAAAGATCCTAATGTAGAAAACTACCCATTGAGCAGTTATCTGGTGCCACAAGGCCCCCCAGAACATCCCTTAAACAACAAGTGGTTTAAGGTGTATTGCTTCCCAACACGTATAGGCATAGTGCTTCGCGACATTATGGCCGACCTACAGTTCATGTCTTCTCCATAACCTATAGCATGGTTCGGGGGTGCCACACTGTCATACAGCAAGAAGTACATCTACAGGTCTAAACGTGGGATTTTCCGAAAACAGGGGACCCAAAAACAGCACCCTAAATACTAGGATATATATATATATAACACATATATATATATATATACCCATGTTAATACATTGTATGTATGTATGTATGTAAGGACCCCAAGACAAGGTACCCCTAAGCTCCCGTTTAGCCCTCAAAGCAGCTGCCCTCTGAGCCGCTGACACCATTCCAAGTACCCCTCGTCCTCGGCAGGTCGGTATAAACCAGGGCCGGAACTTAGGTACTGCCATTAGGACCTTAATAGTAGCCCTATTACAGACTGTTACTGCAAAGGGGCAGTACCCAAGCCGGAATACTTGGAGGGTCGGGGGACTTAGAAGTAAGTAGACTTAGAAGTACTCTAAAAGGGACCCTAATTGGGGTTATGGTACTTATAAGTCCCTAAAATAACCAGTTACTAAGTCCCCCGACCCTCCAATAAGTAGTTAGTAACAGTAGCCCATTGAAGTCCCCAGTGTAAGCGAAGGCATACTCGACCCCAAAGTGTTATTCACGCTCCGACGGTAGGCTTAAGTGTATACTGCTCCGAGCTTCGGGGATATGCAATGAGAGTGCAGTTGGGCCAACAACCCAAAGGTGGCGTTCTCAACCCGACACTCCAACCCAAACCCTGAACTCCATAAGCACTTGAAGAAATCACTGGCCTAGCACGGTAACTCCTAAACCCTGAACCTACCCACCTAAACCCTAAAGCTCTAAACCCTGAACCTAAGACGTGGGACCCTGTGCCATCTTGCGTGACGATGCTAAATCCCGACAGCCCCCGAACTCTAAACCCTGTACCCTAAACCCCTGAACCCCTACTTGGAGGTTCATGGGTGGTTATGAGTGGGGCTCTAAGTAAGGCAACTATACTTATAACCCTTATTAGAGGATTTATAACCCCACTTCTAACTACCCTAGACCCTAAAACCCTAAACCCTAAATCCCTATAGAACCCTTTAAAGGGACCCGGACCCTTAAAGGAACCCTCCAAGTACAGCCCAAGAAGTGGAATGATTCGAATCCTGGACACGGAAGCCCAGGCCCAAGCCTAGAAGGCACTGTTGATGACATAATTCCTGCATTGCCTTAAGGACCCTAAACTATGGGACTTGTGGTATATTCCTTATTATGGGTAGTGCAGGATTTATATCATCGAATCATCAGCCGCATCACCGATGAGCATCACCCAGCATTCCTTCATAAAACCTACAGTAGAAGCCAGAAATTTGGAACATGGCTTTAGGAGGAGTAGTGCTAGGATCCCTTATACTTTACCTTAGGGGCATGGTCGAGGATAATGATGTTCCAACTTTCTGGCTTCTTCTACTGTAATGGATAATACACAGCTGCTTAGTTGGTCCTGTGTTACGACCAACTTAAACAAACGGAAACCTCTCCCCCTTTGCCGAAAAAAGCACTGAACCCTAAACCCTTTCAAAGCAACACCTGATTAATTAAGCCTTTAACCCTTAACCCCTAAACCTCTAAATCCCTGATTAAGCCCTGTAAATCACAGATTTTTTCCACAGACATACATGAACGAACAAGTAAACACATACATACATACATACATACATACAGACATATATACATAGATACATACATCCATGCATGCATGCATATTCGCATACGTACATACATACATACCTACATACATGCATACATACATACATACATACATACATACACATATATATATATATATATATAGATACATATATATATATATATATATATATATATATTAATGCACACACACATGCATGAGCGCATATGCATATACACACATATCCACATGAACGAATATATACAGAGAGAGAGAGAGAGAGAGAGAGAGAGAGAGAGCGAGAGAGAGAGAGAGAGAGAGAGAGAGAGAGAGAGAGAGAGAGAGAGAGAGAGAGAGAGAGAGAGAGAGAGAGCGAGAGCGAGACGAAGGTCCGCCTCCGGCGCCGTCGTCTGCAGCACGAAGCGCTCCAAGTCTTCGAGTCGCAGGAGTGGCCTTAGGTACTTTTGCTTTTGATCTTACAATATATATATATATATAGGGGTTTGGGGGTTTGGGGCTTAGGGGTTTAGGGGTTTGAGGGTATAGGGGTGTGGGGGTTTAGGGGTTTAGGGGTTTCGGGGTTTTGGGGTTTCCAACATAGGGGGCCTTATGTAATATGGCACCCTAAACAGTAGGATCCTTATTGAATCATTTTGTATTGAAGCAGATATGTTATACTAGATCATGTGATGCTGTGTTATAGTATATTGCATCATGTTATAGCTGTGTGTGGTATAGTATATTACATATACTACATGGTTTCATTCTATATATGTACTATGTATTATAAATATATGATATGTGAAAGGATTTAGGATCTTGGGTTGGTTTTAAAGCTTAGTGTAGACAATGTCAGCGCTCTTGCTGCACCTTTTACTCTGTGAATATAGGGGCGTGCCCACTTCTCACGTGCTTACGTCGGCATGTAGCGCCGCCCCGACCACCCTAACTGTTCTCAAACCCCCCTCAACTCTGCTTCTCTGCGCAGTGCTACGTAAAATGACCACATGTCACGGCAGACCAAAGGGTTTTTGTCGGGTTGTGAGTCCTTGCGGCCTATGCCGGCAGAGACCCTGGCCTTCTCCTGGAGACAGGTTGTTCCAATAGAAGAAGGTTTCATGGAGCCGGATGAAAATTCAGCATTCAAGCGTGTGGACCCTACTTCGCCGGATTTCTACTCTAGCATGTACCTGGACCATAAGAAACCTCAACATGTAGGGTTCCTCATTCGGATCTCCGTTTTCTTGCCCTGAAAATACCTCAAACCCGAAACTTCCTTATATAAGTCCTTAAAAAGGTAGGCCCTTCAGGGTTACTTGGAGGGTCGGGGGACTTAGTAAGTAGGTAGTAAGTAGACTTATAAGTACCCTAAAAGGGACCCTAATTGGGGTTATGGTACTTATAAGTCCCTGAAATAACCAGTTACTATGTCCCCCGACCCTCCAAGTATTCCGGCTCATGGGACTTAGTAAGTAAGGTCATAAGTAGGATATAATTAGGATAACCCCACTTAGGGCACTTATAACCCAATTATAACCTACTTACTAAGTCCCATGATCCTCTAAGTAAGGTAAAGCAGCACTGACCTAAGAACCTGGTTCTGGAGGATCGAGAGTTCTGGCGGTCGAGTCCTCGTGGAACTTTAGGGCTTTGAAGATTTTCGGTGTTTTAGGGATTTTGAAGATTTTGGGGGGTTTTAGAGGATTTTAGGGATTTTAAGGATTTTAGGGCTTTAGGGATCTTAGGGCTTTGGCGATTTTGGGGATTTTAGGGCTTTAGCGATATTAGGAATTTACGCGGCTTGGGGATTTCAAGGTTTGAGGGCTTTACGAGTTGAGGCTTTGGGGTTCAGACATTAGGGCTTAGAGTAGAAGCCAGAAAGTTGGAATATCATTATCATAATCCCTTTAAGGTAAATTATAGGGGATCCGACCATTAATCCATATTCCAACTTTCTGGAGTTCCCTGTAGGGCTTTGGGGTTCAGACATTAGGGCTTAGGGCTTTAGGACTCCGGCGTTGGGTGCGGGGCTTTCGGGCTTACAGTAGGGATTTGAGACTTACGATTCTACCTATAGTCTCCGTTGTAGTTCCTTTTTTAACCAAAAACTGTGTTATAGGATACTAACCATAAAACTGGTTAACCAAAAACAGAACTACAATGGAGACTATAGGTACGGTTTTGTAAGCTCCCGGCTCGACGAAAAGAGTCTTCGATGTAGTGGCCGCCGTACTGCGCAAGACGCTGGTGTTCTTGCGGATCGCTTGCCTAGGGGTCCTTATGATGTTTCTGGTTAATGGGTTTAGGGTTTAAGGATCCTTAGGAAAGGATCCTATTTTTTTTTGCTATTTTCTTGTTTCCATCTCAAAGACTCTCCTTGATCGCCACTCTGTGGATTAATGTAGACTTCTGACAAGAACAGAAACGATATCCCTTATCGTCCCTGCATAAACCAAAGCATATTCTCGGAGCCTATTAGGAATATTCTCTCATAATACCTATAATATAACCACTATGTTATAACAAAGCCCAAAGCCCTGCGTTATCTTCTTTTCTTCAGGCTATAATCTAGGATGCCCAGCAACCTAGGAATAACAAGGGCTCCCTGTTTGGTATTGGGTAACTTTATAAGGAACCTAAGACTACAAAAAGGGAATAAGGGTACTACTGGGCATCCCCTTAATCTGGAAACCTGATTAGGAAACCCTGGTCCGACAAATTATTAGGATCCATATTTAAAATAACGAAAAATGACCCCAAGGCTTCCCAATCAGGTCCGTTTCGGCCTAGGGTTTAGGGTTTGGGGCTGAGGGTTTAGGGTCTGTATCAGAAGCTTGCCTAAGCCCGAAACCCTAAACTTTGACTGCAGCAAGCTCTTGCAATTCCTAGCCATCCTACTTGTCCAGTATCATAAGGCAACTGTCTGTTATCCTTTACTAAGTCATTGCTTCGGAAGAGACTAAATCTCACAGCCAGGCGACTGCCCTACTGCTGACCTGCACGGTGTTCTAGACAAGGGTGGCTTGAGACAGCTTGAGAGTGTATGGCTACAGGTGATAATGACCAACATCCTTACTCTGGCTAGAAAGCTCGCAGACGCTGAACAAGTTTCGGAGATCACCAACACTAAGCATGCATCAAAGGAGCAGCAAACAACGTCTAAGGTCGAGCGAAATGGACGAAACCCAAACCTTTAACATCCTCAAGCCCGCCATACCTACGACCCAAGACTCTAAAACCCAAACCATAAGCGTCACAAAGCCACAGGAACACGCACTCAACAATCTTAACAACAGCTACTCAACAGCTCTACTGAAGCCACCCAAGGATCCTCACCCCTCCCTTGTGACAACACCCAAAGCCCTCATAAATCCAGGCTCCGTAAACGAACGCTCTAAGGGGAACAGGAACCCTTAAAGGAACCCTCAAAGGAGCCCTTTAAATCATCCTTTAAAGGAGCCCTTAAAGGAACCCTTAAAGGAACCCTTAAAGGAACCCTTAAAGGAGCCCTTTAAAACATCCTTTAAAGGAACCCTTATTTGAGCCTTTAAGGGATCTATGGATCCCCTGCTAAGGGCTCCTTCAAGGGATCTCTAGGGTTCCTTTACGGCTTCCTTTAAGCGATTGACGGGGTTCCTTCTCAGGAACCCGTTAAAGGAGCCCTTAAAGGAAACCTCATAGATCCCTTTAATGGGAACCGTGTTATATAGATCCATTTAAAGGGAACCCTATTGTATAGATCCGTTTAGAAAGAACCCTATGATAGAACCCCAAAGTACCTTTCAAGGAGCCCTTAAAGTAAAGGAGCCCGGCGATAGCCTCTCTCTGTCCAGGACCAACTCCAAGGGTCTGACCTATTTTGGATGTCTCTTATTTACATAGGGGTCTTGGGGGTTTAGAGGTTTGGGAGTTTAGGGTTTAGGAGTATAGGGTTCATGGGTTTAGAGGGTTTGGGGGTTTAATTAGGGGTTTCCGGGTTTAGGGGTTTTGAGGTTGACGGTTAAAGTATACCCACATTAAGTTACTTCGAAAGATAGATTAGCAAAGTAGCCCTTCATATTCAGGGCCTTAGTCCCGTATAACTCTCGGCATATTATAACATAATATGTATGTGCGTGTACAGACTCGCACCCCGCATGTGAGCCAGATAGAAAGATGAATAAGGTTACAGATATAGACCGACATAAACGTGCTTAGACGCTCGCCTGCATGGCTGTGCTTAATGGATGTTAAACATCTTTTGTTGCTTCGTAGTAGCGAACGTGGCAGATCGATAGGTCTCCGATCTGGGAGTTTCCGAAAATAGGGGGACCCTAATATAGTACCCGAAATAATAGGATCCTTATTAAAAGGACCCCAAAATGAGGTACCCCTAATTTCGGAAACTCCCATATGCCAGCTGGCTTTAGGAATCAGACATGGGAGCCGCCCTTCCTTCCCAGACCCCGCCAAGGATTCAATAAGCGAAAACGTTGCGAAACTTGTCCTACTCTGGTACCACGAGGATGCCTTTGTGAAGATCCCAGGTTTAGATCGTTTAAAGGGCCTAGGCTTACAGGGGTGTTACGGTGAGGGGCTGCGCGTGCACTTTTCCGTCCGCGGCACATGAAATCGAGTCCCGGAAAACAATGATGTGCAGCATCGCTTCTGTTATGGTCCTAAGTCCTAGCTAAGAATGCCTTGTCTGGAAGGGGTGGTGGCGCCAGTCAAGACTTGAGGCCATGAGAGGGTGCGCGCATGATGTAAACAATTCAACCCTAAACCCATATTCCTCCCTACTCCCTTCCCTCGAAGTCAACCCCAAACCCTTATACAACCCTACTTCCTTTTAGAACCCTAAGTCATGCGACACTTTCCCCCTAGACTCCAAACCTTGGCCTAAAGCCGGAAGGCCCAAAAGACCTCCACGTCCGGGAAGCCCCAAAAAACGCAAACACGAAATACCCAAAGACTCCACAACCCCTTAAATAAGGAAGATACATCAAGTTATAATAGGAGCCACAGGAACCCTAAAATGGTTCAAGGTGCATTCCTTAAGGGGCTTTTGAGCCTCTGGGTATTATAGGGCTTTCATGTTTATAATAACCAGGTTTGGGGGTATACTGCACTGTAGTCTTAATGAGGAAGACCAAGGATGGAACTGGCAACTTTTCTGGGACCCTACCGTAACCTACCAGAAAATAAACAAAAAAGTAGGGCCCCTATGAATTCCGTATTAGGGTTATAACAAGAACCTACAAAAAAAGATAGGGTCTGGTAGGTCAAGGTATATAAACTAGGATACCCAGTAACCTAAGAATAAAAAGGCCTCTCTTTTTGGTATTGGGTAACTTTATAAGGAACCTAGGCCTACAAAAAGGGAATATGGGTACTACTGGGATCCTAGTAAAGCCCCTACTCCGAAGGAGACCTCGCATGGAACATGCTGACAAAAGTACGGCTCTTCCGGCTTTAGGCTAAAAGGGCTTACCATGGTTTACGCGAAGTTTCGGTTTCGGGTTTAGGGTGTCAGGGTTTAGAGTTTCGGGCACAGAATTTCCGATCAAATTTCGTTATTCTCAGAGCCAGAGGTTGTATGCTGGCGGACATGTCTCCGTTTACCGCGTTTTCAAGCTTTCGAGAATGGTGGGCATGCTACACTTTGGATGTGAGCTAACTACTACTGTCGATGATATAAATCCTGCATTACCTTAAGGACCCTAAACTATGGGATTTATGGTATATTCCTTATTATGGGTAGTGCAGGATTTATATCATCAACCGTATCGACTACCGACTTGTAAAGAAACCCGAATGGACACACATCTTCAAGAATGAAGGGAGGTAGGGAACATGGCATTTATCCTGTGGGTGTCGCCCTCCACGGGCTCTTTCACGGGATCCTTGAAGGCTTTTTTTGAAGGGATCTCTTGTAGTACTGATGAATATCTGTAGACTCCGCATGAACAGCGAGCCTGACAAGGCCACAAGGGCTCTGAGAGCCTGTGCAGCAAGCAGTGTTTCGAAGCAAACCCTAAACCTCAAGCTAAGCTCAAGGAGCCAGATAGACGCAGAGACCTTACCTTACATGATATATATATATATATATATATATATACATACATATATGTATATTAATATAGCATTGCAGGCCCACCCTTTTCAGTCCTTACACCTGCGGGGAAAACCCTGCATCCGGAAAGATTTGGGTACTAAGCCACATGCTAGGCTCTCAAGTCACTAAGGCTTTCCTCCACCCTCCTTATAACCACACGCCCCGCGTGCGTCTAAGCAGTGCGTTCGAGAGCGCAACATTCGAGCATCCATTGGGTGCTTGCCAGACATGGTAATTGGTCTTGGGGTTAAGGGCTTTGTGTTTAGAGTTTTGAAGCTTGTCCTATTTTCCCATCACAAAGAGCTGATCATTAGTCCCCGCCGCTGTCACCTTTAGCACTCACCAATCAGATGTAAATAGCATGCTCGTGGAAGCGAAGGTCGCTGCTTCTGAGTATAAAACAGGTATAGGTCACGAGAATGATGATCGATCACAGAAGAATTTCTGGAGGCGGGATCGATCTGGAAACAACTCTAACCAGGGATGGTCATAAGAGCGTGTCGAACTTTCTCTTCCTTCTCGTCCAGTATCCTAGGGGAACTGAAACAATTAACAAAGCTAACCTTTGGGGTTATACAGAGATTGTCGAGCCCCAGAAGGTTAAAGGCAACCTACTCCGCCACTAGGTATTGCAAGCAGCTCAGCCTCACCACAAGAATACCAAGCCCCATATCAACTCGAAGCCGCTAGTCTGGAAACCTCACCTCATCGCCCTTCCCTGTGTCAAAAACCTTGGATGTTCCAAAACAGCGGAAGACATAGCTCTACACTAACACAATACTGAGAACGAGTGGAGGATAACATGATGGTTTCTAGTTCCTCAGTTCATGCTTGTCATGTCGGCTCTTTGGTTTAGGGAGGGTTTGGGTTTCAGGGGTTTAGGGATTTAGGGTTTAGGGTTTGGGGTTCAGGGGTTTAGGGGTTTAGGAGTTTGACAACGTCCATTCTATCTCTCAGCCCTGACAGAAGGCCCCGAACAACAAGACGAGGGTCTTTTGCGGCTTTGTGCTTAAAGCCCTATACCGCACCTTGTGCCCTAAACCCCTAAACCCTAAACCCCTGAATCCCCAATCCCCTGAACCCCTGACCTAAACTCCGAGCCTTTGTTTATAAACTTGCCAATTTATCTAGCTTCCCGCTAGTTCCCGAACCTCTTGTTGTGTATACCTCACCGGTTTGCACTGCGGCTTGCTGCAACCTAGTCTTCCAGAAACAGTAGGTTGCGAAGCATATGTATGCATACCTACAGACATATGTACATACACACCTTTGTTATATGCATAGAGAGAAGGCCTTCTACATGCCTAGACGATGTAAAGTTACTACCGAAAATGACCAGGTAACTGCAGTCGGATAGAGGATTTTTTGCTGACGCTCCTAAGCGAACCCTTTTATCCGGGTTTAGGGTTTAGTCAGCTCCCCATATACCCTGGCAAAATCCGGAAACCCAGCACAACCCTGATAGACATTGTAAAACCTGATAGCTAAGATCTTGTACAACCCCCATGAAACCATAAAAAGCCACCTCAAAGACCATACTGCAAGCACCTAATTGAGACACCTGGTCTTATAGCCCCAGAATTTCAGAATCCATATACAGAGCCCCAGAAAGGACCCACGGCTTCTTCATCAGGCTACAAGACCACACCCGAAGTGGCTGGCTGTTGCTTCGTAGGGTTTAGGGTTTAGGAGATTTACTTGCCTGGACAGCACCCGAGACGCGATCCAAGCCCTGTGCCATCAGAGCTCCACATCTTTCCGCCTTAAAACTGACCAAACCAATCGCTAGAATATGTGAAGGGATACCTTACAATTTATGATAGGCCAGAGCCCACCTTAAACATATTTTTCGGCGGCCAGAACTAACTACTTCGATAGTGCATGGGGGGACCCTAAATTTCATTCGTCATCCTTTGGGGGGGGGGGGGCTTTTTATGTCCACTGTTTGAGGTAGCGTTTAGGGTTTAGGGTTTTGGTTTAGGATTCAGGGGTTGTTAATATCAAGGGTCTACATCCATCCTGAAAGCCTTTACCTTTCCAGTCGTTGAGTTCTCGAGCTCCGGTCCCTGGAAGGATCCCCAGGATGGACATAAGCAGGATTCCCCTCTGGTGTTCTTCTAGGCAGACCTTTCTGAAGGTCTGAATAGGGTATAGGACCTGGCACCCTAGCTCCCCTATTTCAACGGAAGATATGCTAAGCTGGGCTTTGTAGTAACGACTCTTTTTCATTATAATGGCTCCATTTATTTTTTTTATGTGCGTAAAAGGTCCCCCAAGAAAACAATAAAGTATGGCACTGCAAAGCCCAGTAGGGAACCCCGGGGACGATCAACCCTCATGACAGACCGAGCAAGCCCGCATAGCCATCTCCTTCGATTAACGGTTGTGATTTCGAGTAAACGGCCATTGATCCGGGTTGACCTTTTCAGGTGTTAGTACCAATAACAATCGTAATAAGCATAGCAACGACTACTATCATTGGTATTGCCATATTGCGACCCATGACTACTGATCTGAATATGGCGGGCGCCACCATGAGAGCCCAGAGCGGTCACGATCTAGCAAGAAATGAAATCGCACAGCCACGGTTTGGCATCAGGACAGCTCGGCTTTCCGACGCCCACAGCCAGACAAACCCCCTTGGCAATGCATGTGCAGTGTGTGTGTGTGTGTGCCGGGTTTTTGGGGCTATGCCTGGGCAGCGGTCCGTGGCTCTGCAGAGGGCTGCCATGACTTGGTGAGGACTCGAAATGCAATAGAACTCACCTTAGCTCGCTTCGGGCTATGATAGTCCTTCGGGGTTTTAAAGTTTGAATGATTGAAGGGTAGTGCACATCGCCGTATAGCCCCTGACCATAGAGCCTACATTCTGGTCCCTGGATGCCACTTGAAAGCCGGTGTGGGCCAAAATCAGGAATGGCCTTCCCCGACACATTAAGTATATGGGTAGTTGTCAAAATAGGGGTCCCGTTTTGGGTACCGTACCGTATTATATTAGGGACCCCAAAAAGGGCCATAAGTTTTGACAACCACCTATATATACCATAGACCGCAACTGAATGTTCAGGCCACCCTCTCTGTTCAACCATAGACCACTTATGTCATGCCGAAAATTTGAATCTCACATTGGCGATCTAAGTCTTGTTTTTCCAATCCCATACACTCCGCGATAGTTTTCTACGTTGCACTTGAATTGAAAGGACACCCCAAACCCTAAACCGTCTTTGAAATACTCAGGCCCCTGCATCAAAGCGCCTTCTTGCCAAACCCAAAACCCCGAAACTTCAAGGCCCTACTGTTGATGATAAAAATCCTGCATTACCTTAAGGACCCTAAACTATGGGAATTATGGTATATTCCTTATTATGGGTCATGCAGGATTTATATCATCAACCGTATCTTGGGGGTCCTTATAATGAGGATCCTGCTGATTGGGGTACTGTATTAGGGTCCCCTATGTTCGAACCCCCCCCCCCCCCATATTTTGTGGAGGGTAAGGGTGCAGGGTTTAGGGTACTTGGAGGTTCATGGGTAGTTGCAAGCGGGGTTATAAGTAGGGTAACTATACTCATAACCCACATTTGGGGACTTGTACCCCCACTTATAACTATGTACCTCAAAACGCTAAAACACCAAACCCTAAATCCATATAGAACCCTTTAAACGAACCTCCGAAGTCTCAGCAGCGTAAATAAATCCTGAAACCTCACTCATAACTACCATGAACCTCCAAGCGGGGTCAGGGTACACGAGTCTAGAGCCCTGATGATTAGAATAGGATTCCTTGAAGTCTATCTTCAGGGATTCACGAAAGGGTTCTGTAGAGGTTTATAGGGGTGTAAAGGGGTTTAGTACAGGGCCTTAACACTTAATTAAGCTCTATTCTATGCTTACAAAAGGGAACCCTAAGGCAGAGTCTGAATAACTACTACGGTTGATGATATAAATCCTGCATTACGCATAATAAGGAATATACCATAATTCCCATGGTTTAGGGTCCTTAAGGTAATGCAGGATTTATTTAGATCATCAACCGCTTCTTTTCAGCTGTTATACACTTGCAGGTCTTGGCTTCGAGCAGTACTGGGCTGGCCTTAAAACACCCTGAACAATATCTATAGATAGGGTCCCTTAAAAAAACATAAAAAAGGAAGACACAAAATGTCCCAAAATCCAACCTAGATTGGTTAGGCTTTTCAAAAAACCCAAATAAGGAAAATCAACAAATGTCCCCACATCCAACCTAGATTAGCTAGGGTTTTCAAATTAGAAGTCGGGATTGCGGCCTTGCGGCTCAGGAGTTCAGGATTCTGGCTTTCGGGTTTGGGTTCAAGGTTTGGGGAGTTGGGATTTGGGTTTCAGGGTTTAAAACTTCAAGTTCAAGCTTCCCTACAGTCTAGAACTATACCGAACTTAGAACCCTAGCAAAAATTTCAATTTTAGCAGTTTCTTAGGGATTATAAAAACCAAAAATTAAAAACTACATCAAGTACCCCTAAGAGAAGGCTGTCCCTTCAGGCGCTAAGTGGGTGCTTGGAGAGTCATCGTTAGAACTCTGAACTTGCCGCAATCGCCCACCGCAGACAGTCATAGCAGCCCAACTAATTTCGGATCCCAGATGCAGTATCGGGTTTAGGGCTTAGGGGATCAGTTATATATATATATATATGCATGAACCTGATAACGACCTCATACGGCTCCGCTTGTGTATGCAAACATAGGCAAACTATCTCTGTGTGTATACTACAAATATCTACAATCACACAGGGTGGCAATTGTATGAGCTTTGTGATTTAGGATGCCAAGTAGCCGCTCAATTTTGTTATGTCTTCTACAACTCCGCACTAATTGCACACACATGTATAAATAAATATGTGTATACACGTACACGTAATTATGGAATGCGCTTTACGTCTACACACGCTTGCAGACATGTATGCGTACAGTCGCAAACATACACAGACATGCCCACTCATAGTGTGCAGCTCTACACAAAATCGCAAACTTACACAATACCCTAAACCCTAAACTCTAAAGCGACTGAACCTGTCAAACGTAACCGGGCCCAAGGATACATGTCAGGGGAACGGCTGTAGGGTGACAGGTTCGGGGCTTACGGAATAAACCCTGAACTTTACTTCGGATGGAACCAAACGAGACTCGAACCCAGAGCCCCACATCCCTGTAGATCTCTTTTGGAGCCTCAGAATCCCTTGGCGAATTTTTTCTCAAACCAAGCAGCCCTTACCGTAGAGATCTATGATGGCAGGGGTCGTTTTCAACTTTTAGGATGATATGACTCAGTAGGTAAGGCAACAGGTACTGGGGGTTGTTCGTAGTCATAAGTCTAACGGTTGATGATATAAATCCTGCACTACCCATAATAAGGAATATACCATAAATCCCATAGTTTAGGGTACTTAAGGTACTGCAGGATTTATAGCATCAACAGAAGTACACTTTGGAATATTCATAACCCCGGCTGCGAAGTCCCACGGCCCTGTCAGTACTGACCCTAAAGAAGGATGGGAACCCCGTGCTGTATCGGGTCCTGCACGCAACACCCCTGTAGATTTAGGGTTTAAGGGTTTAGGGTTTATAGTAAATCCCTGGGCCATCAACAACCCTCAATGTGGAATTCTGAACCATGAGACTAGGCCCGCCGGTTTGTAGCAAGGCTACCAAAGCTAGTCTAGCAGATGCTCATCAGGACCCGATAAGGATAGGATCCAACCCCTACATCAGACTTGGAACCCCTCCGAATTATGCTTTGCGTCCCTAAACCCTAAAACCTGAACGCCTAAACCCTAAACCCCCAAACCCCTAAACCCTAAGCCCCTAAACCCTAAACTGTGCTTTTAAGGGTGAAGCCGGAACACGCCTTACCGTTTCAGGGTTCTGGGTGCAGGGCCTCGGCTCTTTTGTCAAGGCATGCTCTTCTGGGTTTAGGCTTCTTTTGGGGCTTTTGGGTTAAGGGTTCAAGGTTTGGGGTTCAGGGTTTTGGGTTTAGGGGGCTTTTGGGTTAAGGGTTTAGGGTTTGGGGTTTAGGGTTTAGGTTTTTTGGAGCTTTTGGGTTAGGGGTTTAGGGTTTGTCGTTTAGGCTTTTTGGGGCTTTTGGGTTAAGGGTTTGGGGTTTGTGGTTTGGGGTTATTAAAGGCTTGGCACGGATGTTCGGGATCAGGGTTTGGGGATCTTGCGTGCGCGCTTCTCAGCACGCTTAGGATTTTGCACCTGGTGATCAAATCATGCTGGCTTGGAGCGGCCTTTCTAGCCCACTGCTTTCGGTGCTTGGTAAACCTATCCTGAACTTAGAACCCTAGCAACAGTTATAATTTTAGCTGTTTCTAGGGATTATAATAACCAAAAATTAAAAATATATTTCTAAGTACCCCTAAGAAACAACCCTAAGGCCCCAAAGTAGTTCCTTCTTGGGGTTCGTATGTAGAATCCTATAAGGCAATCCCAAAAAGGAACTACTTTGGGGCCTATGGGAAAGGCTCCAAACCCATCAAGACAAGGAATATACGTTCGCAATTTTGGTTCCCAAAAACCTACGTAAGCCCAAAAGCTCTTGCAGCGGACATCGGGGATGCAGAATGTTGCCGCTCACTGGGAGCTGAGCTCAGCAGACTCGGTCTTCGTGGAGGAGCCTCCTAAAAAAGCTTTATATTAGGGTTTAGGGGTTAGGGTTTATGGGTTAGGGTTTAGGGGTTAGGGTTTACGGTTTAGGGGTTATAACCTGTTTGTCCAGTATCCTAAGCGACTAAAGGTTCTTTCAGGGATTATAGACTTGCTCCCTGAATAGCCCCTTTGTAACAAGGGTCCCCTTTTTCTTAATATCCAGTTTTCACAAGGAGGCCCCAAACTCAAGAGGGCAAAAGGCAACTACTCAGGAACTTAGTAGACCCTAAACCCCCCATATAGGCCCCCAAAATCCCTACTTGCCGGGTATCATGGGAAACTAAAGGTTAACCTTTTTGGTTATATAGGGATTGTATAGGGACTATACTACCCAAAAAAGGTTAAAGGTTACCTACTCTACTGCTAGGAAGCGACAAACTCTCCGTCTTGGGGCTTCGGGTTTCGGGATTTGTAAATCGCTGGGCCCGTAAACCCCAAAGCCCTAAATCGTGGCTCCCGCTTCGGAGGTCGGAACATCCGGGTCCCTATGGGTTAAGGGCTTTTGGGGGTTTGGGCTTCGGTGAGACTTCTTTCATCAGGGGCTTTGGGTTTGGGTTCAAGGATTCACCACTTCGATGACTGCATCTCTTGATGTGCAGTTTGACACTGCGCAGGGTGTCGGATATCAGCAGAGTGGCCCTAAACCCTAAACCCTAAGCCCTCTTTGTCAAGACACAGTCTGCGGCATATCTGGCGGGAGTGCTGCTAGAAGAGGCAGCGTGGTTGCACGGAACCCAAATCCAGACACTTCTCCAAATTAGGGCACCCTTTAGGGTGCCTCTTTAAAGGTGCCGTACTATTTTTGGGTGACCAAAAAAAGAGAACTACCCCAATTCAGACAACTAATATAGCGGCGAAAATAATAAGAATAGGGCTTTCGGGCCCATTATTTCTATACTTACAAAAATGAGGAAGCCCCCCAAATTAGTAAGCATAAGTAATTATTAATTATTAAGGCCTCTATAGTAATTATGTTCTACTCCACGAGTTCCCAGTAAAAGTTTTAGACACCCCCGGAAGCCGTAAGCACTACCTTAAGCCGGAATAACCTACCCTTTTAGGGCCCCTTACTATGATTTCCTTTTATAAACCCTTAAAAAGGTAGGTTATTCCGGCTTCAGGTACTTCCCAAACGTCATCCCGAAGGCCCGGATCTACCCCTAAACCCCAAACCCCACACCTGCCGGAACTCTACCCTAAACCCTGCACCCTTACTTGGAGGTTCATGGGTAGTCATAAGTGGGGTCATAAGTCACCTAATAAGGGCTATAGGTATAGTTACCTTACTTATAACCCACTTATAACTACCCATGAACCGCCAAGTACCCTAAACCCTGCACCCTTATCCTCCACAAAACATAGAAACATATGGGATGTCAGATTAAGACTGTAACATGAGATATCCCGAAGCCCTTCTACCCTACGGAAAAAAGGTCTTCAAGGGCCCCCAAGCCCTGCACTCTAACCGTAACCCAAAACCCTTTTGCTAACCCCTGAACCCGTCCTAAACCCAAAAGGCCCTAACCCCTTAAGCCTAAAGGCCCTAACTCCTAAACCCTAAAAGCCCTAACTCCGAAAGCCCAAAGGCGCTAACTGCTTAAGCCTAAAGGCCCTAACTCCTAAAGCCTAAAGGCCCTAACTCCTAAACCCCAAAAGGCCCTAACTCCTTAAGCCTAAAGGCCCTAACTCCTAAACCCTAAAAGCCCTAACTCCGAAAGCCCAAAGGCGCTAACTGCTTAAGCCTAAAGGCCCTAACTCCTAAAGCCTCTTAAAGAAATGAGACCCTCACTCAGCTGCAAGCTGCCGTCTTCTGCAGTGCCACCAGCGGCTCCCTTAAAAAAACTACACCCGGAGAGCTCCCATTTGAGGTAAGGGTGCCTTAAGGGTTTAGGTTTTAGGTGTTTAGGGTTTAGGGGTTTAAGGTTTAGGGGTTTAAGGTTTAGGGGCTTATGGTTTAGGGTTTCGGGGTTTAGGGTTTAGGGGTTTAGGGTCTAGGGTGTAGCGGTTTATTATAAGGATCCTACTAGGGTACTATATTGGCCCCCTATTCTCGGGGAAACAAACAATAGAGACTCCTGCGGCCTAAATCCTATGAGCGACCCATTGAACACTCGATAACACGACTGAGACCAGCGAAACGACGGGTTTCAGACCCCATCCCAAGCTCTATACTCCCCCAATGAATGTACACACATCTTTGAACCACACACCCTAAACCCCAATGCCTAAACCCTAAGCTCTAAATTCCAAAGCCTGAACGGTGTCCCCGTCCCTGGGCTCCCCGGGTCTCTGCCTGAAGTTGCTTCCAGACGTCCTCGAACTCCAGGAAAGTTAGATGCCCAGTCCATATAGTACAGAATTGACTTTCAATATATGCTATGTATTTCGAGGTCTGCATATGTCGCATACGATCTATAACGAAGAACACCAAATATCTAACTGTCAAAATAAACCACATGGTTGATGCCTTGTAACATGTACGGTGGAAGTCCTTACAATATGGACGGATCAAGGGGATTTGGGCTGCAATCTAGAATCCTAAGTATGGGCGATTTAGCGTTTAGGGTCAATCCTAAGTAGTTGCCAACTCATGATTTGTTGATTGTAGGTATAGCGAAGGCTGCTTAAATGTTTCTACAACGAAGGTTTGGGGGCTTGGTTAACGAAGCCCTGTTTGGGGAGTTTAGTTCTTTGGATAAAGATTTGGTTAGAGAGCTCTAGACTCTAGACTTTGGCTTGACGTAAGACCGGGCACCTAGGCTAGGTAGCACCCAGTGGCAGGCTATGGGTGCTGGCGCCAGACTACCTGTTGGCGCCATGGAAGCTTCCAGCCAACCCGAACAGCCTAGCAGTTTGATTAATACTATTTGCTATTGTTACTACTATTAATATCAACGTTTTCATTGTGATTGCTATTGCAGTTCTTATTGTTACTACGGTTACAGGGCTGACGGTCTAGTCACCCTGACAATCGCTGAAAACGTAAAGCCCGAAACCCTCGGGCCCAACACTCCTAAGGCTCCAAAAACCCTGAAGCCCTAAACTATCTCCATGCGAGAGGGAGACAGAGGGAGGCATCGAGAGAGAGAGAGAGAGAGAGAGAGAGAGAGAGAGAGAGAGAGCGAGAGGGAGAGAGAGAGAGGGAGAGAGCGAGAGGGAGAGAGCGAGAGAGACAGAGAGAGAGAGAGAGAGAGAGAGAGAGAGACAGAGACAGAGACAGAGACGGAGACAGAGAGAGAGAGAGAGAGAGAGAAAGCAAGAAAGAGAGAGGGAGAGACAGAGAGAGGGAGGGAAACAGAGCGGGAAAAGGGCAACACAAAGAGGCACAAAACAAGGCATCTATTCGGACAACCTTGTATCCTGCACCCTGAACCTTCAAGCCTAAACCCTAAACCCTATACCTTAACCCTAAACCTTACACCCGAAACCCTATACCTTAAACCCTATACCCTAGACGTTATAACTCTAAACCCTCGACCCTATACCTTAAACCCTAAACTCTGAACCTGAGGCTGCTACTTTACTTCTTGCCGAACCAACAAACAATGTAACGTGCTATGCTGTATCTATATGCGGTTTAGGTTTAAGGTTTTAGGAGTTCTTTGCGCTAGACATTTTACATTATACTATACTGGACTTAGACCCTAGCACAAATTACAATTTTAGCTGCTTCTTCGGGATTAAAGGAACCAAAGAGTAAAACAAAAAAACCTACCTAAACCCTAAACCCTAGGTACCCCTGAGAATATGGTAGAATCGACGAGCAGAGGCAGCTCCCACGGCCATCAATTCCTTCCGGGCCGGTGCTCTCTGGCTGCGACCACTGCTTTAGGGTGTAGGACAGTGTAGGGTTTAGGGTTTTGGAGTTTAGGATTTAAATAAGATTTTCAATCGCAGGGTATGGGATTAAGAAGTTTAGGCTTGAAGATGTTAGAGCTTGGGACTTAAGGATGCAGCATTGGGAGTTTAGGGCTTAGGATGATAGAACTTTTCGATTTCAGGATTCAGGGTTAGGATGATAGTTCTGACTTTAGATGAACTCATTACATATTGCTTGGGCTTGGCACTTACAGTACGGCTTCGCCCTGAGGGTTAAGGGCTTATGGCGGAGGGTGGAGGATTCCTTTGGAGCTTTGGATTGAGAGTTTAAGAATACTGGACTTTAACTAAAGTAACTGAAGTAGCGGGGAGAAACATAATGGTTCCCTATACTGACAGGTCCACCAAAGCATTAGAGTATAGTACTGCAAAGCCCAGAACCCTTCCTGGAGCTCCGACTGCCGCCAGATGCAACGAAGCCTTATATCGCTCCATGTCTGTCCAGACCCTGAATATGAGCTGCTGTCAGAACTACCCAGCCCACCTACACAAAACACCAAAAGTCCCAAAACCCTAAAATAGAAGTTTTAAAGGAAAAAATTAAACGAAACCTACTGTTACGGTTAAGGCGACAGTGCTCGCAACCTTCGGGAAAAACTTGCAGTGGCCACAACCCACCATTTTGCTGGCATCGTGCAGCAGTGGCGACAGGTCTAGCTCCCGGAAACCTGCGCGTTGCTGCCCTGCGCACGACGGCTTGTAGCGTCTAGATGAGAGCACAGCCATGCCAAGAAGCGTTGCTACCTATGCGGCAGGTAACTGGCTTCTAGGCTACGACCACTATAGGGGACCCCAGCCCCTTTGCAAAATTGGTACCGCACCGGAAAACTCCACGGCTTGCTCGCACCCGCAGATCAGCGAACGGTTCTAGGGCTGAAGGCTTAGGAAGAAGGTCCCTACCTGGTTTCGTAAAGGGGGTCTAACTACCGTACCCTATCCGAATTTTGCTTTTGTGCTTGATTGAGCCCGATGATCCGTGCGTGCCGCAGCCCGCCGTATCGTGGACAGCGCGGTGTAGGCATACTGCTCTTGTATCGGCCGACTAGCTCCACCAGATTGTGAGAACCGACATCGAAACTCTGCTTGGAGGTTCATGTGTAGCTATAAGCGGGGCTCTAAGTAAGTTATATCTTTATAGCCCGTATTAGAAGATTTAGAACCCTACCTATAACTACCCCAAATCTACACTGAACTTAGAACCCTAGCAAAAATTACAATTCTAGCTGTTTATTAGGGATTATAATAACCGAAAACTATTTTAAAAAATAAGAAACGACCTCCAAGTGGACTGGTGAGTCGGTCTTACAGCGGAGACGACCGACCGATCAGAAGGCAGTGCAAACGCAACCTAGTGTTGCGAACCAGGGTCTACGACATCTAGAAAACTAGAATCTAGAAATGCACCGGGTCAATGCTACCAGGGCAGTCAAGCACAGCTGCTTTTTCAGTGACATGTTGTTCCGTATATCCCTTCTTTGGCTTCCGCCCCGCCACGCCCCTCCGGCTTCTTCGCGAAGTTTTCTCTACTGTTCTTCAGTTCTCACTGGTTGAGTGCGTATGTAACCCGAGGCCCCAAAGAAACAAATCATGTAAGCGATTGGAGCAGGTTAGTCTGGGCATGAGTTTTGGGTTTTGCCGTCAAGACACTGTTGCCCGCAGATGAAGGTTTAGATATGGTTCAGGGCTGCAAAGCGACTCAGAATCAAATTAAACATGTACCACTAGGGATCCTAGCCCTAAAACCCAAATAAGCCTGCAACCCCAAGCCCTATGGCTACAGAGCGCCGAACCGTGAACACGGCTTTGGGCCTAATGCAGAGCACATGTACGTTCAGGGCTTAGAAGCCAAATCCTCAACCCTAAACATTGGGGGTTTCGTCTGCCCTTGCTTTTGCCGATCTCTACCGCGCCTCGTGCGTCCGGAAGAGAGCAGCAAAGACATTGTACCCCGTGCGCAGCAACAAAAAAACTGAATATTGCCACGCGGGAGAGCTAAGATCACTCCTGCCTGCAACACTGGGGGAGCTCCGTCTCACGGTTTCATGTTTTTGCCAGAACTGAGGTGTTGTGTGGTGTTCCTTGTAATACTAGTAAGATAGGAACGTTCCTTTGCGCACCCTTTCACGAACCTGAATGTATCATGTATACGTCCTTGATTTACTTTGGTCTAGATTGTAAGTGACACATATCACTACGGAGTGAAAACAACAAGCGAAGCTTGATCACATACTGATGGCTAAGCCCCTGCTGACACAACCCAAACTGCAGTTGGATCTAGTGGATGCGGGCAACCGGATGAGGTAGCCAATGCCACAGCGGAAGATTGGAACAAGACGCTCTACTTGTAATGTACACGGCATAGTTTCTTAGCCAGAACGCTCCAATGTCCAAGGGATTGGCAGACTGTTCGGGCTTCGTTCTGTATTGGCAGAGCTTTAGCCAAGGGTGTTCGAGGACTTTCAGAGCGGCTGAGGCCGGAAGATGAACTTCACCATAACACACGACTTGGAGTTTCTCCCTTAGGGGCCCAGACCCTCCATCTACCCTCTATTAGACCCCAAATGCCCCTTATGACCATATACCCCTATTTGAGGGTACAAGGAGGGTCCTGGGGCACTTGGGGTTTTGAAGGTTCCAAAGGGTGTCGGGCCGTCGCTGGAGGCTTCGGGATGTAGGAGTCATCTTAAGATCTTCACGAGTCCCTTGGTCCTTATAGAAATAATAGACAGAGCCCTATACCTATATCCCTTAGTAGGAATCATTTAAGAAGGTCTACCAGCCGGTCTGTTTATTCTTTTGGGGGAGCCATGAAAAGGGACAAGGCTGCTCACGAGAATGCTAAACCCTGAGCCGCTGAAGAGAGGTTATTTATGGCCCCGAAACTTCAAGGCATAGCCGCCATAGCCAGGTTTCTGGAGCCACAGCTATGGTCTAAGAAGCCCCAAACCCCTATAGAACCCCTGCTGTCACTGACTGGCAGATCGAACTTGTGGGAGCTTCGAAGGCTAATGCACTGCGTACGACTAGGATTGTGTCGGGAAATTAATGAAGAGTTTTGTGATGGTATAGAGTGAGATATGGTAGTTTTGAGCATTAGAAAAGCTTTGGGGGTATGCTGTACTAGTGACTATAGGAGATCAAACTTCGAATCTCAGACCTCTACATCAACTCTCGACCGTAACGTACATGACAGAATCAGGAAACGTATCACCTCTGACTTCTCTTTGAAATTCCCTTGCGGGCACCCCCCAAAAGGAGCAGCCCGCTTTGGGAATTAAGGCGAACTCCAGAGGGTACCCCAGTGTCCAGGGGTCGCCCGCTGGCAAACTATGCTGCCGAAGGCCTGACAAACAACCGTCGGTCGGCAAATCAGGTCCAAGTGACTCCGAGTAAATCAGAGAACCTAAACCCTAAGCCCTTAGTTAAGGACCCGAGCATATACCGTTATAGGTTTGTGAGCTGCCAGGCTTAGTGCCTTTCTTCCCTGGCGTTCCGATACTCTTACACAATGACCCCATAACTGAAGAGAAATTCGCAGGTCTTGAGCGGTGGCCCGCGGTTAATATGGGATTTCTGAAGCTCCTTAAGCAAGGAATGCTTTTCTTAAAGCAAAAATCAGATCCCAACCCACACCCCGGGAGTATCCTAAAACCATAAGTAAGGTTTAGGGTTTAGGGTTTATCAAACCCTTCAGCCCAAAACCAGTAAACTACGGTTCTTCGGAATAACAAAGTCCCAAAACCTGTACACGGCATTCGGATTAGGTTCTCTGCGTGAGTCGCTATGTTCCGGCAAGAGCTACGGTGAATGGATGCTGTGCATTCAATCACAGCCTAGAGTATCTGCAGAAGGGTCTCAAGATCTTCGCCAGTTGCCAGAGGTGTTCGCCTGAAGATTCCCTTGCATCAGCTGCTTCATGCTTCGTTACCTAGGGTCTCCAGTATGTACTTCTGTTTTGGCCAAGCACTTCTATGGGTATGCCTAGGATCCTACGATAAGAAACGTAACTAAACAAATGGAGCTACATGGAGCTACTGTGATGACTGAATGTACGGATTTATTTGCACGTGGCGCGAAGAGAAGCCGAGAGGAATCATGGCGAGTGGGGCCAAAGGGCTGTTTCGGACTGGTCGCCGATTCTGTCTGTTGCCCTAAGGGTTTAGGGTTGAGGTGCCCAGATAGTATGTACTTTGGCCCCCCAAAGTACCTATATAGCGAAAACTTTTAAGGCCAAAGTATATACTTACTATTTAGGTACATGGGCCCCTTTGTCTTGCTATTGGCTTTGTCAGTGTTGAAAAGTCCTGCCAAATTAAGCGTTGCAGGTGCTTTCGAGCTAAAGTGGGCTATAGACTCATTGAATGTGAAGTAGCAGCTGATGAACTCTCTCTCTCTCTCTCTCTCTCTCTCTCTGTCTCTGTCATTAACATGCCTACGTACATACATACACACGTACGTACTGCATCTGCATGTGCTTCTTCGCTTGCATGTTCTTATGCACCCCAGACAGTCGAAGGACATGAACAGTCTACATTATTATGTACACCTACAAGCGGTGCTTCATTAGATTGGGCATGCAAATCAGGACATAATGGATACTTAAAGAAGCCGGACATGTGACTAAAACCCCAGACCGTGCCGGCGAGGATCACCAATGACCCGGAAAATGGATCGAAGAGCAGCAGCCGAGCAGTACCCTCAGGACCTCCAGGGCCGTGGGTCCACCCGAATGCTCTCCTTCAAAGATACCAACCTCGCTTGGCAGAGCCGCAGGTGGACTCTATGCCGACACCTCATCCTGCATGAAGTTTCCTGGTGGCGTCTGAACCGTACACCTTGAGCCCTAGACGTCACCCTGTAACCCCAAATCCCAAACCCTGCACCCCCGGCCTCCTTAGGTCGTTCCACCCACGCCTGCAGACACAAGCCCCCCGAGAAGTACGCAAAAGGGCTACACCAAGAGCCTAAACATAATAATGTCCAAAGCATGCGAGCTAGGCATCACCCATCATTTATAGGGTTAAGGGGCTTAAACCCCTATCCTTAAGAAAGAACCCAGATCCCTAACGCCCAAAGCTAAGGCCCTGAGCCCCAAGCCCTGGACTTTATCCCAACTTTCAAATCCTCCAATCCATATGGAGTCCTCTTCTAGTGGATAGACATGGGAGTTTCCGAAAAACAGGGGACCCTAACAAAGTACCCTAAATAGTAGGATCCTTATTATGAGGTCCCCCCAAATTAGGGGACCCCTAATTTTCGGGAACCCACATAAATAAAAAAAATAAATAAATAAGTAAATAAATAAATATATATAAATAAATAAATAGATAAATAAATAAATACATATATATATATATATACGCACACCCACCCACACACACACACACACTATAACTGCGCGACGTAGTTTGCATCGCCCGGAAACGTTCAATCGAGGATGCAACCCTCAGCCCAAAAAGCTTGAACCTTCAACCCTAAACCCTGGAAACCAAGCTCAAAGCCTGAACCCCTCACATACCATCATCATCCCTAAACCCTGAACCCTAAACCCCTAAAACACTAAACCTAAACACCCTAAACTCTGAATCCTCCGCATACCATGCCATCTCGAGTGTGACGCCGTTCCAGAGAGGTTCCCTTCATGCAAAGCCAGGCCTGTGTCTTCACGATCAAGTGAGCTCTTTCTTCTTGGGCAATGCTCCAAGTTTGTTGTTTAGGGTTTAGGGTGTCTCCTGGGGTGATGCTGATTAGATCTTCTGTGTCGGCCTCTGGAGATGCGTATCCCTGCTTGCATGGTCAATCTTTCGATTGCAAGTTGCTATTTATCTCAAGAAAAGCATCAACCACAGCAGAACTGAACCCCCCGAACCCTAAGTCAGTCAAAAACAACTAAGCAAGGAACCCTAAGCTGCCTAAGCTAAACCAGCACACAGTAAGGCCCAAACTGAACCCTAAACTCTGGACCCAAGTTCAAACATGCAACCTACTTGGTTACTTCTCTGCTCAGGAACGCAGGTTGTAGCTCACACGACCGTCCAGGCTACTGTCGGAGCCTGACAAGCAATCCCCGGCGCACATTAGGTTCAGGGTTTGGTAGGGTAAGGGGTAGCAGGATATGCATCAGCAGCTGCAGCAAGGAACCTGCGCTATAGATCCAGATAGAGAGTGCTTTATGCCCTATCCCTAGGGATCAAAATAGCCCAAAAGCCTCATGTAGTATGGTCTTTGGGCCTATGTTGATTATAATAAACCCCATAAAGTTGGAAACCGGACTAAGGCCAAATAGTGCTGCGATTCCCTATACATGATTGGGTTTCCAACTTTTCGGCTTCTACTGTAGGGTATGTCGCCCCGGGGGGCGCTTACTCAGGCTCCCACAATAGTACAGCGATGCTCAGAAACACGGAAAGCTCGCTGCATCGATGTTGGATACTAGGTTCCTGAGAGTAGCACCTCTATAATATAATAAGGGCACCCCTTCTCCTTCTATTCGGCTTGAATAAGGGGACCCTGAGCAAAAAAAAGGGCAAAAGGGTACTACCCAGGAACCTAGGATACTTCGCGCTGGGGAGGTCCAGTAAGTTCACCGGCGCAGTGTTGAACAGGAATCCCAGCCTAAAGCTTTAGGGTTTAGGGTTTATCTTGACTCCTCAACTACCCTCCATTGCCCCCAAGCATTACTTTAGGGGCTTACTATAGGGGCCTTACTAATTTGGATAGCGTTTTCGGGGCTCCTTGAAAGGGATCTTTAAGGGATCTATAAGTCTATAAGGGTTCTATGATGCAGGGGCCTTACTTAGTATAGGTAAGTATTACGGCCCCTTTTCTTCCCTTTCAACCAGGATCCCGACTTACCAAAGAAACATCGCGGAACCCGAAGCACCCCTCGAGATGATCCCAGCAGTTAGAGGACTGAAAAGACCCTGAAACATCACGAATCATAATTCTACGGTTGATGATATTATAATAAGGAATATACCAGAAATCCCATAGTTTATGGTCCTTAAGGTAATGCAGGATTTATATCATCAACAGTATGAGTGCTTTCGACATGAGAAACATGCAGGTATGTGATTATACATCAGTTTTTATAAAAATGCTATAACAGACCACGCCCGCTCACTAGCTCCCCTGGCAAAGCCGCGGTATCCAACCGTAGCGTGATCAGCATGTGATCCGGTCGTTCGGGCAAGGTGCACGGCTGTGGTACCTAAATCCTTAACCCTAAACCCTGATTAAACCCTAAAGCCCCTAAACTCTAAACTCTACTAGAGCGCACATATTCGGACCAGCGGGGCTCTCTCAAAGGGTACTTCGGGGGCCCTGCTGCGTTGGACGGTTTAGGACTTCAAGACATTGGGCCACAGGAGATTGAAATCCTAAACGCAAACAGGAAGACAAAGGAACCCAGTGGTCCATAGGTTGAGGGTTTGGGTTCAGCCCGAAACGCTAAACCCCTAAACCCTAAACCCTACACCCTAAACCCCGAAACAGGGTTTCGGTTTGTACAATACTTGAACGTGCTCTGATGCTTTCAACATAAGTTTAGGATTATAGTTTTGTCAGGCCAGTATTTGTATGTTTAGGGTCCCCCTAAGTCGCTTTCAAATCCCACGCCTTGCTTGGATCTTATTGGTGGCTTCTTCATGCTGCTACCGAATCCATTAGATTGCTGTTGTGCTTAGTTCAGTGCCGTTAACGACATCTTGTCCGTTGACCGGCCGATGCGCAGGCGGAGCCTAGTGGCCTGAACTCCTAAACCCAATACCCTAAGTTCTAGATCCGAAACCCTAGACTCTAAACCCAAGCCCTTAGGAGGGGGAATTGGGTCAGAGATTCTAAACGACCTCACTTAAGGAATGCCCTTATAGGCGACTTTATAGGAACCGTTAAGGGATCTACTTGTTGAATCCTCTGTCTGGGTAACCACATTGGCTAGGTTCCTGATTTCCTGCTATTCGGTTTTAATAAGCTTCACACCGCTGTGACTTTATAGGAAACACGTTAACGAGTCTAGGTAGCTAGACTGGAGAGTTTAGGCCACGGGGCTCACCAGAGTGTCAGAGAATGGCAGAGACATGGCACGGTAAGTCAACTCTAGGTTCACCTTCCCGACATTTAGGAGTTTCCGAAAACTAGGGAACCTTATTTTGGGGTCCTTATACTAAGGGTCCTACTACTTAGGGTACTATATTGGGGCCCCCTATTTTCGGAAGCTCCCATTTAGTGTAGGGTTTAAGGCTTCTGGTTGGGGACCTGGGTTTTAGGTTTCGGGTTTAGGCTAGTGTTTACCGGTCGCCGGGTGCCTGATCCTGGCTTCTTTTCTGGGCCGACCTCTGAACCCCTCCTAAAAGTTAAACTTTTAGCCTCCTTACTATAGTTCATATAGAAACCCAAAAAGTTAAAGTCTAAAGAGCCAACCAGAAGAACGCCAAGTTTTCATAATTCCTTTACCCGGGCTAGGTTCTCTGAGTGACAGGTAGGGCTTAGGGTTTAGGACTTGGCATTCAAGGTGGTGATTTGGGGTGCAAACCCTCACTAAGAAACCCGAAAAACTCTAAACCCTGAAGGCCAATAAGAACAAGGGGGTTTAATATTCGGTGGTCTGCATTTTGCACAACCATTTTCCAGCCGGGCACAGGGGCTTAGGGCTTTGGGAATTAGGAATACTATAGGGCTTCAAAGCATCAGAACAGGCTCTTGCATCCTATAACAAGGAAGCCCAAGGAAGAACATCGAACATTTTCAGGAATTTACTGTAGAGGCTTTAATAATTAGAATATGGGTTTGGGGGCCATTATACTATAGTCATAAGAAAGAAACCGCCCAAAATAATGTAGGAAATTATTAAGGCCACTGTATGTTGCTACGGGTGTGGGGGCCCGTCCCAATCCCTGACACATGACTTTGTCCCACGCTGTATTCAGAAAGGCATCGATGTGGGTTCAAGGAACAACAAGGTTCGTAGTGGAAGACTGCTAGTTTGAAACTATGGTGCTGCGTCACACAAGGTGGAGGGCCATCTCGCAATCTGCCAACTTAAGCATAGTATTGGCAAAGCTGTATATATGGAACGAAAGGTATGCACAGGTAGAGAAGATAATCTCGGGGAAAAGTGACCGGTGAGCTTGGCTTGGCCGGCTCAAGCTGCTTTGTCTGCATCTTCCTCTGCCTCCAGCCGTTCACTCCTCTTCCTCGGAGTACGGCTGCGCCTGCAGATGACTTCCCCCAACACTGAACCCGAAACTCTAAACCGTAAACCTCAATGAGCTTTGAGAGATTTAGAGGTTACTTGGAGGTTCATGGGTAGTTATAAGTGGGGTTATAAGTCCCCTAATAAGGGTTATAAGTATAGTTACCTTACTTATAGCCCCCACTTATAACTACCCATGAACCTCCACATAGGCCCCCTAAACCCTATACCCTGAAAGAATCCCTATAGAGACCCTTAAACGGACGCTGACAGGAACCCGTATAACTACCCTTGAACCTCCAAGGGCTTGGGAAACTTTTCTCTCCCACACTTGCCGTCATCGGCGGTTTGCGCGCTTCGCGTCTTAGGGTTTCGGGTGCTGGGGTTTAGGGTTGATCGGGTCGCGGTGGTCATCCTCACGCCCTCATTGAAGCATCATTGTTCAAATCGAAGGTATCGTCGCAGCCATCGTTTTTGGCCTTGTCACAGTCGTCACGGTCTTGCCTACAGCAACAACCACCAGAAACCGCGGGCAGCTCTCCACTGGTCAGGCCCATGGCGTAGTCGATCACCATGTCCACGGTGAAATCAACAGCTACTGGGGCTGCGAATGCCGATGCTGCCATGGCTTGTCTGCTTGGCTGCAAGGCTGAACCTGCTGTGCTTTTCAGTATCAGGAGGTGGTCCCGTGCCGCAGATCCACCTACGCCCACTACTCAACAAAGAACAGACAATCAATGCACATTCCGTCCTGGATCGTGGCCACACGTACAAATAGGACGAAGTTTTTGTCCTGGCAATCTCGTGAGCGCCTGCTCACGCATGCGCCGCTTCCCCTTTTCCTTCTTGACCACGAGACCTCCCTGCGTTTTGGGCTAAAGACTTGAGCTATACGACAGTTCGCTTCGGCTCTAGCCAAGAGGCGTTTTTGAACGACTCGTTTGTTGGACTCCTAACCCAAAACCCTGAACCCCAAACCCGAAACCCAAAACTCGAATTCTGGAAACTCTACCCAAAGCCTCCATCCAAGAATGACGGAGTCTGAATCCCTTTGAAGACATGGGGAGAAACCATAAACCCTAAACTCCTTCGACTCCGACATAAAACCAACCCTGAATAAGCCCTAGGCCGTAGGCCCCAAACCCTGACACCTGAACCCTACAACACTTGACCCTGAAACCCTTAACCCTAAACCCCTAAACTCCACTAAACCCCTACTAACCCCTACTAATCCCTACTAATCCCTTCTAATCCCTACTAAACCCTACTGAACCCTACTAATCCCTACTCATCCCTACTCAACCCTACTCAACCCGACTAAACCCTACTAAACCCTACTGAACCCTACTAAACCAAGAAACCCTTTACCCGGCCAAACCTGGCGCATCTCCTCCATGGCGAGCTTCACGCCCTCCACGAAGTCCGCATGGCTCTCTTCCCCGTCCTTGACAAAACTTGGCTTCATCGGTTTAGGGTTTAGGGGTTTAGGGATTAGGAGTTTAGGGGTTTAGGTAGATAAAAAGAAACTTAATCCTTCGGTTGATGATATAAATCCTGCATTGCCCATAATAAGGAATATACCATAAATTCCATAGTCTAGGGTCCTTAAGGTAATTCTTAGGAATTATATCATCAACAGTTGAGCAAGCTTTGCTTCATCGATTTAGGGTTTAGGGGTTTAGGGGTTGCGGGTTCGGGGCTCAAGGTATAGGCTCTCTTCCCCCGTCCTTGATAAAGCTTCGCTTCATCGGTTTAGGCTCTCTTCGCTTGAAGGTCATGGGTTTACTCATTTGGACCCTTAGGGGGAAAGGGGGAGGGGGGTAGGGGACTAGAGTTCTTTAAATACGCCTTATTATTTCCTTATTAAAGGCCCCCTCCCCTCTACCCCCTAAGGGTCCTTACTCTCCCCCATCATTGGCTCTTTGGCTATCGGTTTTTTCGGGTTTAGGGGTTGTGGTTTAGGTTCACTACCACGACTCTTGCTATTGCCATTGTTAATGTGTTTTGGTACTACTACCACCACTGCTGTTGTCACCCTCACTACCCTCTCGATTAGCACCATTCTGACTACGTCGTCATTTGCTGCTGCTAATTACTGGTACTGCTACTGCTACTGCTAGTATACCTGTGGATGCATTGGTCCTTGCGGGGACCCTTCCGCTTGCTTCTGCGCTCGAGGGTTTAGCTTGCGCAGCGTTAACTTTCAAACCGCTTCCGCGGCTCCCTTCCGCAACGGTTGTTTCGCTGAGTTTGCGGCTTGCTTCCGCAAGTGTGGGTGCACGTCTTGAGGAGGCGGTTTGCTTGCACAAGCCACGCAGAAAGCTTTGACTACCAGCAAAGTATGCAAGCTTACATAAGCGCGCGAAGACACAAGCAAGCACATTCATCTGAAGTTGCTTTTGTGGCCTCGGCGTTTAAACCCGTGGGTAGGGAATTGGGTTGGTTTCCAATCCATAGTTGGCGCTTCCGCGGACTGCTTGCTTCCGCAGAGCTTCCACTTGCTTCCGGTTCGTGCACACAGTTCCGAGCAAACTTTTTCGGCAGAAATACAGACCTTGACTGTACTTTAAAATGTCTAGACCGTACTACATACAACTTGCGGTTTCGGCTGAGGGTGTGGAGTTTGGAGTTTAGCAGTTTAGCATACAGGGCCGGATGCATAATTTCACCTAACGCATTGGACCTGCAGCCCGTCTCGTGCACAAGCCGTACTGCTTGTCTAAGCTCTGCAACCCCCTCAACAATCCAAGGGTAAAAGGAGGGACCCTTAATAAGGACCCCTAGGTATATACCCTTAATATAGCTATATACCCATTATATAGCCCCATTATAGGGTAGGGGTCCCCGTTAAGGCTCCCTCCTTTTCCCCTTTGAAACACTCCCAAACAACCCTGAGCCTAAGGCCCCAAACCCACAACCCTCGGCGCTCGCTACTCCCCAAACCATATCCCCATACACCTTACACCTCAAAGCTCGGGGATATAAACTCCAGGCCACTCAACCACATTACATCCCGAAGCCACAACCCCAAAGCCTCAAAGTCCTAAGTTTTCTACATCATACTGTAAGGTTTAACCAGGCATCTGATCCGGCCGAAGGAACACGGGAAGTCACCATGCCTTGACCGCAGAAGCTCTGGCGTTTTGGGGTTTAGGGGCTTCCATACTGAACAACTATAATTTTAGCTTTTTCCTAGGGATTTTAATAAAAGAATATTAAAAATTATTTCTAAGTACCCTACTTGCTCTACTACATTCTTAGGGTTCAGGAATTTAGGGTTTAGGGTTTAGGACTTTAGGGTTTAGGGTTTAGGGAGTGAAGGGATACTAAGCTCCAGTTCGGTTTTCTAGGTCCATCAGTTCGGGAGACCCCACCCCACAAATTCCAGGATGCCAAGTAAACTAGGAAAAAAAGGGCTCCCCTTTCGGTATTGGGCAACTTCATAAGGAACCTAAGACTACAAAAAGGGAATAAGGGTAACACTGGGCATCCTAGAATTGCAAGTCTACTTCTAGTGATTCTAGTGACCTGGATGACCAGCTTTGCTGCGCCTGTTTCAATTAAAGACGTTTTTATACAAACACAGACATCATAGAGGTTACCTACTGACCTGCCACAGGTTTATTCGAACGGGAGCTTCCGAAAATAGGGGCACCGTATTTTGGGGTCCGTGAACCAAGGGTCCAACCATTTAGGATACTATATTAGGGTCCTGATCTCCGGAAACCCCCTGAAACCGTCTTGGCTAGTATAGGGGCCTTAATAATTACACTAGGGCTCTGGGGCATATTATACTATGCAACAAATAAGGAGCCCCCCAAAATAGTATAGGTAATTATTCAGGCCCGTATATTAAACCCCCATCATACCCCTTATAACATAGTAACCCTAATAGGCTTTTAAAAACCCTTTAAAGGAACCCTATTCAGGGGTTTAGGGTAATTATTACGGCCCCTATACTTGTCTCCTTCTAGGAGTCTCTGCCAAAGATCAAACCTTTTTGCGGACCCTTCGAGTGTGGGAGCTGTTGACAGGCATCCTACCCAGAGACCCCAATATCCCTTAATCAAGGAACAAACCTTAAATCGTATTAGGGATCCTGCTATAATTTGAGCTTTGTTCCTTAAAATACAAAGGATATCGGTGCCTCTGGGTATGCAGACCGGACGTTTGTGTGAACCTAGGGTTTAAGGTTTGCGTTTTCGGGGTTGAGGGTTTGGGGTTATAGGGTTTGGGGTTTCGATAGAACCCCCATATAGCCCGAACGGGGCATCCTAGTTCATCAGGAAAATTGGACCACAAAGAAAATTTAAAATGCCGGAGAACAACCTCAAACAAAGCTGGCCTGTTCAAGCACTGGCTTCGCGTGGCGACTTTCGATTATAACATATTATTATGGTACAGTATACTATATTACACTATACTCTCCTATATGAGTCTGTACTGTTCCATACTGTACCATATAATTTTTCTATTATATTGAATCCGCCAGCTCTGAAAGTGCAGTCTTGCTGCCCACGAGCCCTGCAATGCTCATCTTGCTGATCACACGTCCTTAGAGGTTTCGCGCTGAGGTTTGGAGTTTAAGGTTAGGGTTTAGGGTTTAAGATTTAGGATTTAGGGTCTATAGGGCTTAGTGTTCTATACCACCCTTAAACCAGTACAAAAACTGTATTTTGTACTATTCTCTTGGGTTTCTATATGAAGAAAATAAAGAATGGTTCCTAAGGAGACTCTAGGGTTAGGGTTGAGGGATCTTACTCAGAGGAAGATACCCCCAAAGCATGTGCAACACATGGCTTAGTGGCCTTAAACATACCATGGGAGGAGCACTGAGGAATACGTAGTACCAAGTAGTATCGGTGATTATTCAAGCCCCTCTACTACTCCAAGCCGCAGAACCCCAAAGCCTGAACAACGCCTTATACGGGAAACCCATCAAAAAAACTTTTTTCAATCAAAAAAAACTTTCAGCGAAAAGAAAAAAACTTTTTCACCAATCAAAAAAACTTTCTCCATGTGTAGTAGTAGTAGTACTAGTAGTAGTAGTAGTAGTAGTAGTAGTAGTAGTAGTAGTAGTAGTAGTACTAGTAGTAGTAGTAGTAGTAGTAGGAGTAGTAGGAGTAGTAGTAGTAGTAGTAGTAGTAGTAGTAATAGTAATAGTAATAGTAATAGTAATAGTAATAGTAATAGTAATAGTAATAGTAATAGTAATAGTAATAGTAATAGTAATAGTAATAGTAATAGTAATAGTAATAGTAATAGTCATAGTCATAGTAATAGTAATAGTAATAATAATAGTAATAGTAATAGTAATAGTGATAGTGATAATAATAAAAATAGTAATAGTAATAGTAATCGTAATAGTAATAGTAATAGTAATAGTAATAGTAATAATAATAGTAATAGTAATAGTAATAGTAATAGTAATAGTAATAATAATAGTAATAGTAATAGTAATAGTAATAGTAATAGTAATAGTAATAGTAATAATAATAGTAATAGTAATAGTAATAGTAATAATAATAGTAATAGTAATAGTAATAGTAATAGTAATAGTCATAATAATAGTAACAGTAATAGTAATAGTAATAGTAAAAGTAACAGTAATAGTAAAAGTAATAGTACTAGTAATAGTAATAGTAATAGTAATAGTAATAGAAAAAGAATGATAATAGCCATAGTAATAGCAAAAGTAACAATAATAGTAACAGTAATGGTAATAGTAATAGTAATAGTAATAGTAATAGTAATAGTAGTAGTAATACTAGTAGTAGTAGTAGTAGTAGTAGTAGTAGTAGTAGTAGTAGTACTAGTAGTAGTAATAGTAGTAGTAGTACTACTACTACTACTACTACTAGTACTGGTACTACTACTGGTACTAGTAGGAGTAGTAGTAGTAGCAGCAGCAGCAGTAGTAGTAGTAGTAGTAGTAGTAGTAGTAGTGGTAGTGGTAGTGGTAGTGGCAGTGGTAGTGGTAGTGGTAGTAGTAGTAGTAGTTGTTGTTGTACTAATAGTATAGTTAAATCATGGCGAAGCGTAGGGCCAGGTGCCAGCTCTGCAGTGAACGCCTTTAACCGAGGCCCACAAGGGGGAGAGAAAAAAAAAAGGGCAAAGAAAAAAAAAATGTCAAAAAAACTAGGGTCCCTTCCTTCCTGCCTTCCTTCCTGTCTGCCTGCCTGCCTGCCTTCCTTCCTTGCTGCCTTGCTTCCTTCCTTGCTTCCTGCCTTCATTCCTTCGTTTCTTCCTTCCTTCCTTCCTGCCTTCCTTCCTGTCTGCCTGCCTGCCTTCCTTCCTTGCTGCCTTGCTTCCTTCCTTGCTTCCTGCCTTCCTTCCTGTCTGCCTGCCTGCCTTCCTTCCTTGCTGCCTTGCTTCCTTCCTTGCTTCCTGCCTTCCCTCCTGCCATCCTTCCTTGCTGCCTTTCTTCCTGCCTTCCCTCCTTCCTTCCTTCCTTCCTGTCGTGCTTCCTTTAATAAGGGAAAGTGTTTTTTTGATTGGAAAAATGTTTTTTTTGATTGAAAAAAGTTTTTTTGATTGAAAAAAAACAATTTTGATTGGCATCCCGCCTTATACGACCTTCCTCAAGCCTAAGCCCTACTGTTGATGATAAAAGTCCTGCATTACCTTAAGGGTCCTAAACTATGGGATTTATGGTATACTCCTTGTTATGGGTCATGCAGGGTTTATATCATCAACCGTATTATAGACACCAAACCCTCAACCATAAAACAAGCCCTTCAAAGAACCCTTTAGTGCCTAGAAGTACTGAGGGGCCTGGTGCCCGCCAAAGCCGCCACAGCCAAGTCGCATCCCTGAAAATGATAGAACATGCAAATTGCCGAAGAATGACAGTAGTAATTCTAGTCATGGTGCCCATAGTCAGAATAAATGTTGCTTGCATGTGCGATATACTAATACCAACAATAATGACACGCAGTACTAGTAAAATCGAAAATTGCGACCTTAGTTTTGGCATTAGTACTCGTACTTGCAATAACAATAATCATGAACGCAACATTCACAATCAAGATCACCGTCATCATAATCATCATCACCAGCATTGCTCTCATTGCTTTGAATTCCTGCATGTCCATGAGCCTTCAAAAGCCCGAAAGCAGGTAGCGAGATGCCGCAAATCCTTGAAACTCATAAACCCATAATGTAGGGCTATTTGATTGAGAACGCGAATTGTGGGTACACTACTTGTACGTGTGTGTGTATATACATATATATATATATATATACATACATACATACATACATAGCGACCCTCAGGACAAGTATCGATAATCATGCAGGCCCCTATACCACAACGCATCGTTCAGATTCTCCGGCCACCCTCCTGAACTTCCTAAATACCTGGAACCCCTAAGAACCACAACATCGCAACAGGTTTAAGACGGCTTTACCGTACTACTACTACTACTACTACTACTACTACTACTACTACTACTACTACTACTACTACTACTACTGTACAAACGTTAGGTTTAAGGTTCAGGGATCAGCAACAACATGTCTCCGGCTATAAACCCTAAGTAGGCCGTTCTTAGGGGCTGAGTTTACTGGCCCCAAATGGGCTAGTTGACCATTTCAATTCCGGGTAGGATTATAGAAATCCGACAAGGTTACGGGTTACCTACCACAGCTACTAGAAAACCGATCCTTCCAAGTAGCTCAAAGCCTGCTGTTCTCCGTTTGAGATCTTCACCGGGGTCTCCTCGAAGTGCTTTGGAGCGGTTGAGGCTTACGGTGACGATTTTAAGAAATCACGGATGTTTTAAATACCTAAGATATGTCAACCTCGCCCGGGTGTGAGGGAGGGAGTGGAGGGGTAGATGGTGGGAATTGGGAGGGGTGGATGGTGTGGAGGTTTGGTGGGGTGCAGGGTGGAAAGGGAGGGGCGGAGGGGTGGCACTTCTGTATACTAGCGCAGTGGAGGACTTAAGTTTTGCGACCAAATTAGGATTCAAACTTAGGGTTAGGGTTGAGGCTTTAGGCCTAAGAGTTTAGGATTTAGGGTACGGGGCCTACAATGGGCCCCTTACTAGGATGTCCTTGAACAGAACATACCGAGCTGCTGGACCATCTCATTTCCCCAGCAAAGAGATCTAGGGGCCCCTAAGATAAACACTAATTACATAGTAGGAGCCGTAGTATATGCGTAAATCAATCAATAAAAATATACATATACATATATATATATATATATATATATGTATACACATATGTACATATTTATTCATAACTACTTAAGTATGTAGTTAAGCAAATGTATACACAAATTGAATACAATAGCGAATCAAGGGATCCCATCTAGCGCCTCCATACAAGACCTTCAAACGCCCGCCCGTCTAAAACACCGAAATCCCCAAAATTGAACTTCTAAGTCCCGAGAGACAACCCTGACATAGAGGCCTTAATAATCAGAAACGGGTTTTGGGGCCCATTGTACTATACGCATAGCAAGGACCCCCCCCCCCAGAATATTATTTCAAAACATGTCGGCACGAATAGTAATCTTCAGCAAGCCTCTTTCATAGTGCCTTAACGGTTTCAGTAGGACTTTCAGGTGTATCATAGTAGAATGGAGTCACTAATAAACGATAACGAAGGAGTGAGCCCCAAAAAGAGATGATTATCTTGGTAAGACAAGGATGTAACACCCTGGCCCCGCCCGGACGCTCACTCAGGGCAATCCCCCGTGGTGCTTTTTTTGTATTTGCTCGTGCCCCGCCCGGAATCTCACTCACTCACTGCCGGCCCGGGCCGCGATGCCCCGGGACAGGTGGTTTTCGTTGCTTTTTTCTCGCCGAACCCGGCGAGCCAATAGCAAAAAATGTCTGGTGTGCTACATCGGGCCTAAAAAGACCCAGCGGGGCCACAGCAAAGCAAAAAAAACACCAATTTTCCCCTCAGGACCAAAAACCCTAAACCCTAAAGCCCCAAGCCGTTATAGTACCCTCATAGACCCCATAAAGGAACCCTAAACCCTATAACCCCAAACGGTTATAGTACCCTTATAGACCCCATAAAGGAACCCTGAAAAACCCTAAAAGCTTTCCTGGCCTGCACTGGCAGCTTTGCCAGGCGTTCCTCGAGAAGCCGCATGAGGTGGACGGCATGTTGGGTCAGACCTGTGCCAGCTTAGGGCTTTAGGGTTAAAGGGTTAGGGTTTAAGGGCAAGTTTAGGGTCTAGGGGTTTGGTTCAGGGTTTCGGGTTTAGGGGTTGGGGGTTTGTGGTTAGGGTTTAGGGCTTGCTTGGGAGAGGTTTGGGGCTTAGGGCTTCAAAAGGGTTGAAGGTTTATAGGGTTTCGGGCATGGAACCCCTCTGGCTTCGCCTAATCATTGGGACTCTATAGGGGCTCAGAGGGATGAAGGTTTAGGCCACCGGCTAGGTTCCCGAGCATCCCCATACTGTTGATGATATGAATCCTGCATTACCTGAAGGGCCCTAGACTATGGGATTTATGGTATATTCCTTAGTATGGGTAGTGCAGGAATTATGTCGTCAACCGTAATGAGCACCCTTGTGCCACTATTAGAAACCTAGACGCCCGGGACCCTCAACCCTCGAAGACCCTCGAAGAAGATTTGTAAAGTCTAGAACGGAACCTGTTCAGCGGAACCGGTATCATAGGGTTGATGATATAAGTCCTGCATTACCCATAATAAGGAATATACCAACATTCCCATAGTTTAGGGTCCTTAAGGTTTTGCAGCATTTATATCATCAACAGTAAAGCCATTCAGGAACAGCAAAGCATGCTTTACCTTCGGAACCATACCATAGGCCATTCCGGACGCAAAGCACGACACACCATAACGACTCGAAGTGCTACTGTTGATGATATATATCCTGCATGACCTTAAAGGCCCTAAGCTATGGGAATTTTGGTATATTCCCTATTTTGGGTAATGCAAGGTTTATATCATCAACCGAGTTTCTTTTTATCTATGTGGGGCTTGATTTTGGGGCTTCTTTATCAAGGCTCAGATTGAGGTCCCGAAGAGGCAGAGCACGCAGTTTTCCTTGAAACAAAAGCCTTCGGGTTGAACACGGTTCTCAAAGCACAAGCGCTCCCCCTTCAGCGATCCGCTGAACAAGGAATGTGCTTTCTGTACCCCTACAGCTAGCTGCTTCATCAAAATGCGGAGCGCTCCACGCTCCCAGTTCAAGCCGCATACAGCAGCATATCGTAAGACTCAAGGCTTTACAAGACTCAGAACTCACTCAGATCACTCATTCAGGAATTGCGAAGTGTGAGCACGTGCGCCGGGAGCCAGCTGGAGCTCGGTCCGGCCCTTCCACTCACGGTCAGCAAGGGCTCTCGACGGCTTGTGAAGTTGTCGATAATCATCTTGAACCCGCCTTGTTTCACCATTCGCAAACACAGCATAGGTGACGCGGCGCCCGGTCAACTGGGCCTGCGTAGGCCCTGCCGCGGTCTGTCCAGGAGTGAACATCATGGTGCGCGGAGCAGCGTGCCAGCGAATGACCACTCCCTGCTCTTCCTTCCACTCCCAGTAGTCCCGCTTTCCGACCGCAGGTCGGAAGCTGTAGTCCTGCATAGGTCCTTGCAGGGTATCCAGCGGCTCCACGGGTGCCGGCACAGGTGGTGTGGGCGGTCGGCGCTCCCCAGAGATCCGGCTCCTCTGTCGCAACTCGGTAGGTCGCGACTCCGCGGGTCCACTCGTAGTAGGGGAGGACGCCGTTGTCCCGGAGTTCTCCGGTGAAGGCTCACTTGACGCTGATTCCCCGGCCGTAGAAGATCTGCTGGTGTGGGTCGCCGCCGGGGAACTCGCGAACATGCCTCGAACTGTCCGTCGGAACACCGACGCGACCTGCTTGACCCATTCCCAAATCGCAATAGTCGCCACCACGCACAGGCCGAGGAACATGTAGTCGAAGGGCTCCCGGGCCTCCTGCTCCGCAGCCTCTCCCTGCTCCATCATCGCAGCCAGACATAGCACCATCATCAGCTGCTTGGCCTGTGCCGGCGCGATTGCGCTCGAACTTTCACTGTAGCGCCTTCGCTGAACTCGCATCCGATCCACCAGCACATTGAAGCGATCCACGGCAAGGGCTTTAGTGCCCAGATCAGCCGGCATCACCTTTCCATCCAAGTGAAACGCCAGCCAGTCGGGGTACTCTAACAGCTCCCGGATCATGCTCCCACGAATGCGCAAGTGGCGCGTGCGCCAACTTCCCGCGGCGCACCTGCAAACTGCCAAAGCCGACTGAGAGTCGGAGTGCAGAACCTTCATCACGCTCTCCACCTTTTCCTTAGAGCCAAGAGCAACTTCCGCCACCAAATGCTCCAGGGACTTCATGCTCATAGTAAGCTCGCAAATCGCCACCAGCTCGCTTTCCGCCGTTGACATGGTGACAAAGGCTTGACGGTGGCTAGCCCAAGCCACCAAGCCTCCCATCATGAAAACCATCACCGCTTGCTGGCTGCGACCACCATCCGGAGCGAAGCTAGCATCGCAGAAGCCCTCAAGGATAGGACCCTTCGTAGACACCTGGGCGTCCGGGCTCAGGTGGGGTTTGTTGGTGTAGAGCAACCCTGCCTCGGGAAAGCGCTTGAGGTACTTTAACAAGTGCCCTCCTCGGTACACCGCTTCCTTGGGGTTCTTGCCGATGGCCTGCGACAACAAGTTGACAGCATACGCAATCTCCGGTCGACAACGCCCAGCCAGCCACTGCAGCTCTCCCGCCATTGTCTGGGCGGTCCGGATAAAGCCGGCCGCCTCCTCTCCCTCCTTCAAGACAAAGTCCTCGGAGTTCAGCTGGGTCGGTGCCGGGACCTCTTCATAGCTGATGAGCTCCTTGTAACGCGCCAAGAGGTCCTTGGTGTAGCTGTCCTGCCGCAAAACCAGACCCTCAGGGCTCCGATGGATCTCGAAGCCATTGAAGGTCACATCGTCCCACTGGGGCTCGGTGCACTTCCAAGTCTTAGCGATCATTCTCGCCACTTCCTGGGCGATCGGCGCCTCGCCCGCAATCAAGAGATCGTCAACGTAGCATATGATGGCACCTGCGCGGCGGGCTCCCACCATGACATACCATAAGCTGCTGTCGATCTCGGACTGCACCAGGGTGATCTCTCCCTCAGGGACCTTGCCTCGCATCTGCGCCAGCGTCTTGTTTCGGTAAACTTCCCATGACCTCGGCGAAGTCACCAAGCCATAAAGGGCTCTTTTGACCTTCCATATGGTTTCACGACACACTTTTCCCAGCAAGAACATCTTCGGCACCTGAACCAAGGTGGGGCGATCCTCTTGAAAGAGTAGCGGCGCCAGAAGGAATGCCGTGCGAACGTCCATCACGCAGATGGACCAGGCCAGAAGCTAGAATGGCCATCCTCAGGACCACCCGGATCAACACACTGTCCGCACCAGCGGCGTACTTCTGGTCCTTCGAGAAGTTCTGACCCAAGAAGTTGCCGCAGATGACGGCTCGGGTCTTGAGCCGGCCCGTGAACGCCTTGATGGTGTGCACCGTCTTCCCAGGAACCAAGTCGAACTCCTTGCCCGCCTCCTTCCATTGCTGAAGGATAGCCTCATCAAAAGGCTCCACCGCATCATTCTCGCGAACCAAGGACTCGTACTCGGAGAGCATGCTAGGGACCCACTTTTCGATCTCCTTCCGGACCACCTCGTTGGGGATCGTCTTGGTATGAAGAGGAGCGTCAACCGCTTCACTCTCAACCTCGACTGAGCACAGACGACTTTCATCCTTCGTCTCGCCGTAGTCGCGCCACCGCTCCATCTCCGTCTCAAGCTCAAGACGACTAGCCCTCCACGACTCCTCCAAGCACGCATAGCCTCCATTGGCCTCGGGCGGGTCGTCCAAGGCTCGCTCGAGGTTCTCTTCATGCGCCAGGAGGCACCGCACCCCGTCCAGGTACTCATCAAAGAGATCCCACCCGACATCCAGGGGCACCTCAGAACCCACAAGCTCGTAGGACACCTCATCATACGGATGGATCGCCTTCAGCTCCGGGCCATAGGGGGACCATATGCTTCCCATGAGTCGCCCAAGCCATCATCTTGAACTTCACCGCCATCTCCTTCATCTCCAATGAAGAACCACTCTGGACCACTCTCGCCAGAAGAACCACACACGCACAACGACGGATCCACCTCCCATCCTTTACATACGCACTGACCACCACGAGCTGCATCACCAGGAGATTCCGACTTCAGGTTCTCCCCCGGAACTAAGCTTCCGAAGCGACCACCACCACGAGCTGCATCACCAGGAGATTCCGATTTCAGGTTCTCCCCCGGATCTAAACTCGCTAAAAGACCACCACCGCAAGCTGCATCACCAGAAGATTCCGAGTTCAGGTTCTCCCCGGATTGCTCAGCAGCTAAAAAACGCACCGCTCGAGACGAAATGCCACCGCCTTCTCCCCCTTCAGACGACGTCTGAACCGACAGCGGAGGCAGGGGAAAACCCAATTGCTCTTGTAGTAGAGAACGATGCTGCTCGGAGCAGTTTTCGAAGCAACCCACGGTGTAGGCCGAAATGGTCACCCTTTTGCCATGCCACGGAAGAGGTTGATGAAGTCGACAAGGGTCAAAGGACACGAGCTTGTGGTAGGTGGGGTAGCGGCGACCAGGAAGCCACCTTCCTTGTACTTTCCGCCAGTCCACATGATCACCGGGGCCTTGCTGAGGCTCATGACACCACAAAGCTCCTCCAACATAGGTGCCAAGGCCCACCAAATGAGCCATCGTGCCGGCTTTGTTGTTGAGGTCCTGATGGCACTGCATAGGCGTGTTGAAGTTGAGAGACAAGGTAGTAAAGGAAGATTGTGGCCCGACTAGCCGCTTGAGCGCTTCCACCAAGAACCTTGTCAGCATCGGCCGAGTCCTCGCCAGGCGGGTCGCCCCCACCACTCCCCCATGTCGGAACATCCCCAGGACGTGCACAGAGACTGTAGTGGCATCCTTGCAGATGTTTGGTCGATGGCCTGGAACAACCTGATCCGCTAACCATAGCCCATCGAGAAGAGATTCCACCGCTTCCATAGAGAAATCTCCGGCCTCCATGAACACAGCCGCCAGCTCTTCATCCTGGATCAAGTGCTCATCTTCAACCGCTTCCAGCTTTGCCAGTAGCGCCTCCTCCTCCAAGCGAGCCGCTGCAATCGCCGTTTTGTCTCGAAGCCGCCGTCGAACTCCAGGCGGATCCGTACGAGACGGCGGGGCATCCACCTCGAACTCACCGGACACCTCGCGCACGTTTTCCACGACCACCATAGTAGTGAGGTAGCTCCCATCCTCCGTCTTCACCAAGAAGCCACGAGCAACATCCATGGATGGGCAAAGCACTTTAGCCGCTACCACCTTCTCCACAAACTCCTCCTTCTTGAGCTTCCAGGATCTCTTCTTCACAAACACCTTGGTCCCGAAAGGAGGTAGTCGAGGAACACGACCGCCAAGTTGGGTCACTACGCCCTGCTGCACCTTGGCCATGTAGTGCCGCATTGCGAAGGCCCACATACTGGCATCCAAACCGGAGCCCGAGAGGTATGTCCGGACCGCACACTTAGCTCGCCCAATCAAAGCTTCCACACGACCATTGGCTTTATAGTCATCGCCCGTCGTAGTAGTCCGAACTAGCCCGCGATCTCGGCACATGGACCTGAACCCCTTGTTCACGAACTCGCGGCCACGATCAGAGTGGATCCTTTGAACCACCAGTCCCAGCTTCTTGACCTGCATCAACATCTCCTTGGTGGCTGCCAACACCTCCGAGGCAGACTTGGAAGGCAGAGCAACAAAGAAAGGCACCTCCGCACAGGTCACGCCATCGACCTTGTGGTCGACATGACCCTTATAATAAGGTACGTGTGCGTTTAGAAATGAGCCTTATTATAAGGGCCATTTCAAATGGACCTTAAAAACAGCAACTCTGGACGTTTACACTCTGTACATAGGCCTTTGTACAGCGTTTGTCTTGTTCCTGCGCTAATTGCCACAAAAAAAACAAAAAAACCTTAAATATCCCCTATGATTCATATCAACCCTGAACCCCTGCAGGTTGAAATCCCGACCTTATAGTATTTAAGTGTGCATATGCATGGTGCTCAACAATGCGGCTAGCAGAACACTTCGTGAGGGTTGCAGTGCATGGAGCATGAGCTTTGTAGTAGCAATAGTAGTAGTATAGTAGTAGTAGTAGTAGTAGTAGTAGTAGTAGTAGTAGTAGTAGTAGTAGTAGTATATAGTAGTAGTAGTAGTAGTAGTAGTAGTAGTAGTAGTAGTAGTAGTAGTAGTAGTAGTAGTAGTAGTAGTAGTATAGTAGTAGTAGTAATATAGTAGTAGTAGTAGTAGTAGTAGTAGTAGTAGTAGTAGTAGTAGTAGTAGTAGTAGTAGTAGTAGTAGTAGTAGTAGTAGTAGTAGTAGTAGTGGTAGTAGTCGTGGTATGTTTTTCTTTTTCGTTTGCCCCCTACAGGGAGGGTTGATGGTGAGACAACCCGGGGGCAAATGAAAAGGAAATAGTAGTAGTAGTAGTAGTAGTAGTAGTAGTAGTAGTAGTAGTAGTAGTAGTAGTAGTAGTAGTACATCGTATTGGTACGAATACCATTACTGGCGCTAGCAGTCGTATAAAGTAGTAGTTGTATTTGCATTGTTGTTTCATTATAATAGTAGTATATAAGTACCGTATTCAGTGGTTGTTATGGAAAGAATAGTGGAGTAGAAGAGGCCTCGGGAAAATAGTATGTAGTTGTTGTAGTAGTGGACGTTGTGGTGAACTTATAATGGAGGCAATAGTGGTAGTAGAGTAGTATTAACTACTAGCATTCAGTCACAGTAGTCTCGTTCTGCTTAGCTCCTTCAGTACCTGTTTCCCACGTGCAATGTCGAGCTCCGATTCCGAAATCGACTCGCAGATGCTCCGCCGGATGGAGAAGCGCGAAGTGTTCGTCGACACGTTCAAGAAACAGCACATGTACCAGTATGTGCAAGAAAAGTTGAAGAAGATCGATTGTGATGCTGTGGTGATATCTCCGCCAGTGACTCCTCGTGCAGCAGTCAGCAATCCGAAAAGTGTACGTGAAAAAGAGACCTTAAAAAAAAAAAAAAAGGTTATGCATCTGTATGAAGTGTTCACGACGCCGTTGAAGCTGGATTTTGCCAGAGATGTATATATTTGACTATGGCCTCCAGTTTCCGCAGATCCGTGTCGACCTGGAATTCGTAATTCACGTTCGAGTCAAGCCGGACCACTGTTTGGAGGGCGAGAAAAGCAGTTGTGTTTGTCCCTCTCGTAGTCGTCCCAACCGTAGCGGTATTGTACTATGTACTAGTATCTATAGTACTAAGACTGGTAGTGTTGTATTGGTTAGTAGATTATCTAATACTGTAGTACAGTACCTTCACAAGTC